CCAATTAGCACCTTATCATATAAGGGAGCTATTAAACATTTTCTTTTTCATCTCCTCAGGAACTACTCCTAATTTGGCAAGAAATGTCACCATCAATTGTACAGAGCTAGTAGCGTACGACATAATGAAGGACACCCTTGTGAAAAATGAAATCCTTGCAGGTAACCTCCCATGTGACGTAACAAACAGGACTGCACATTTACAATTTCATCTTGGAGCTTCTCTTGCCACATTCTACTGAATCCCTTAATTGTAATAGTTTGAAGTACTTTTGAACACACATATATATAACTTTTGAGGAGCAGAAAAAGACTAAAGCCCTAAGTTTTAAAAGTTTCATTGCAACAAATTTTTGCAATGAAACCAAAATGCAACTATATTCTTATGTCAGCATTACTCTCATTTAATACAAATGGGACTTTTGTTAGCATCTTATTCTTTATATAGCAGGACTTGGGCAGTGAGTTCATTCTGCACTGTATCCAAATGAGCTAGTTACATGAGTTCATCATCAGTTTCATCCAAATGTAGAGCCATCAAATAGGTTCCTAAAGTTAATATTCTAACAGGTTCTCAAGACATTGAGATTCTCCTTGGACAATGACTTTAATAAACAAGTATCTGATGCCTGTATACCAGGCATTATGCCAGACCCTAAAGGTACAGAGAAAACTGACAGGATATTTTCCTAAAACACAATCCACTATGCTATGCATGTACTATTTGCCACCATTTTCCATTATAAGTATAATCTTCTTTATTGTATTTATTTCTAAGGCGTCCTGTGTTGACTTCCAGGTTTACAGTGATCTGATAACTAAATACTAGTAGCCACTCCCGAAAGTCTGATGTTGACCTGTTCCACTGATCCATTTTAGATGACCTACCCTGCCACTTTATGTCGGCTGTTTTCGCTGGGTTTTGTGCAACGCTCCTGTCTTCGCCAATGGATGTAGTGAAAACCAGATTTGTAAATTCCACACCAGGACAGTACAAGAGTGCGCACAACTGCGCAATGACAATGTTCATTAAGGAAGGACCATCAGCTTTTTTCAAGGGGTAGGTTATGATCTTCTGTATCTATAATGATGTGCTTAGGCTATCGACGCACTTCGGAACGCTGTCTCCGCTAAACAATTGATGTAGCAGAGCAGACATAGTCTACTATGCAGTATAATTAGTGTTTCCTTTTCCTTGCCATAGACTTCTCTCATCTACCAATTCCACCGTGCAGGAAAATTATAATTAATTTTCTCAACCTTGATCAGAGGCTTATTCGACATAAGTAATTGGTCCCAATCTATTAGAAATGTATAGACAGTATTTTGCCTTCTCTGGGAAGAACTACAAAGCAAAGGAAAAGCATAATAGAGGACTTTGAGAAAACAGTATTTGCTTTTTTCAATTTAATGGACTGTGGCTTAGATTGTATTAAAGCAAAACTAGAGAAAAATCACTGTCATTGATTTAGAAAAGTGATGCAAAACACTCACATAGAAATGTATTGTACAGTGGATCACATTTCCATAAAGCAATATTATATTATATTGGAAATGACCTTCCTAAGAAAATATATTATCAACTAATTTATGGATATATTCAACAAGGATTATACCAGTGGTAAAATAAAAAAATTCTATAAACCTTAAATATTGTAAGGCAATGTCTTAAACCTAATAAGATAAACATAAATTCACTATACACACTATACAAAAGGTTCCACTTCACCATAATGTTTATGATACAATACAAATGAAATACATTATAAAATTAACTTTAAGTGGATATGCCAGTTATTCACATCAGCCATTAAACAATAATTTTTTCAAATTTAAAACCTTTTGGGGGACTACATATTACAAGGATGAATCCTGAAAATGTAATGCTAAATAAAATGAGTTAGACACAGAAAGACAAATATTATATGATTCTACTTATCTGAGGTACCTACAATAGTCAAATTTATAGAGACAGAAAGTGGAATATAGTTACCTGGAGCTGAGAGGAATATAGAGTGGGGAGCTATTTTTTTTGTTGTTGTTTTGTCCTCACCCAAGAACGGTTTCCTCTCATATGCTCCTTCACTGGGGATTGAACCCACAGCCTAGGTATGTGCCCTGGTCTGGAATGGAACTTGCGAACCTTTGGTGCACAGGATGATGCTCCAACTGAGCCACACTGGCCAGGGCAATGAGCTACTTTTCAATGGGTTCAGAGTTTCTGTTTGGGTTGACAAAAAAGTTGTGGAGATGGATAATGATAATGGTTGCATACAAAGTGAATGTATTTACTGCTACTGAATCATACACTTAAAATGGTTAATAAATTTGTTAAGCATACTTTATACCTTAATTAAAACACATATACACACATCCAAGAGTCAGGAGAAATATATTAAGAGACCGCTCCAAAAATCTTTGGGGATGATATCTGTAGGCCAGATCACTTAAAAAAATATTCTAGCTCTTTGTTTGGGTTAGTTTTATTTGTTTGTTTTTATTGATTTCGGAGAGGAAGGGGGAGAGAGTAACATCAATGATGGCTGTGTCCTGCACATCTTACTAGGGATCAAAACCTGCAACCCGGGCATGTGTTCTGACCAGCAATCAAACTCATGACCTTCTGGTTCATAGGTTGATGCTCAACCACTAAGCCACACTTTTTAAAAATTTTATTCAAGGCAGATTTAACTGATGACATCTTCTCTTGGAATATTTCATTGCTGCAAACAGGCATTCAAAATCAATGATTTGTTCTGCAGAGTTTGGCAGAATTCTTAAAAAAGAGCAACAACCAAAAAAGAAAGACCAAGAAAACCCCCCTAGACATGGGGCAGTCTCTCTAAGGATAAGAATTGCCAAAATCTACACAGCACTAATTTCTCGACTCTAGAAAATGGTCTTTGCTTCCTCCTCTTACTTCATTTTTTAATCATTTCCTAATAACAAAACAAAAATTTCCCCTCCCCTCCAAAAAGAAGGAAAGGCTATGAAAAAGGAGGAGATAAGCTTTGGTTTGGTAGGAATGTATTTATATAGCTGTTTTGAAGCAGTATAGGTGAAAAAATAGATGACACTTTATTTTAGGCAGCAGATAAAGAACAGGTACTTTTAAGCATCTTCATTTGAGAAGAGTGACAAAGCTGCCTGTATAATAATAGCTTTGAGAATGTCAAGCAAACTAACACACCAGTGACGTGCACTTTTCCAGGTTACTACCTTCCTTCTTGCGACTGGCATCCTGGAACGTCATTATGTATGTGTCCTTTGAGAAGCTGAAACGAGAGTTGATGAAGTCAGGACAGCCCGTGGACGGCGCCACATGAGCGTCTTCAGGAAAAGGCTGGGACATACCAGTGGGAGCCTTTGCCAACTGGATGATTAAAAAACAAGCAAAAAGCTATTCCCATTATTTCAGCCTAAAAAGATAAAGGAATTCTGGTAGAGTAGAAAATTGTCAACTATTCTCCCTCCCCCCACCCAACTGAAAACTAATACCTTTTATTTCTTGTGACTTTTATTCTGTTTTAAGGAGGGGAAAGCAAGACATTCAGGACTCACTCTGGCAAATGTAATGTCCAGATAAGTTACTGCATTTGATTTACCATTTTGTGTGTGTGTGTGTGTGTGTGTGTGTGTGTGTGTGTGTGCATGGAGAAGGGAGGTGGTTTATGATTATGAGAAACTTGAACACCTTAGTTATAATTCAAACTGATGAAAAAGGAACATTGAGTGAAGTGTCCTTTATATTTATAAATACTTAAAAATGAGCAGTTATAAAAGAAAATATTACTGTTTTCTTTTTATATACTAACCCAGTTGTCAGTGAATATATTCAATAAAGTATTGCTAATACCTCTTAAAGTTTGTCTTTTTGGGTCTATCGTGCATGTAAGAGTTGAAGTTCCCTACAATATTTGTGTAGAGCAACATTCCATACAAAGGTCTATAGAATCAAGAGGCACACACTTACCTTGTTATTAGTAGAGTTTAAAAATTTGTCTATGTTTTATGACATCTGTAACAAGTTCTATGTAAGACATTATATCCATTTGGGCATTGTTGTTATTAGAATCATGGCATCTTTCCTAGAATCACAGAATTTTAGAGCTATGAGGTAACTTTGGTTAGACAGAGCAGCGGACTCAGGCAAAAATGAATCTTCAGGGCCTCTTCCCAGCAAAGCCAAGTTTGTCATTAAAACCTGTAGTAACCTTTTTCATGCCTACACACTGAATGCAAAAGAAGTAGGGAAAGAATAAACGAGATTAAAAGAAGTATGAGAGCCAACTCCTTTAGCTTGTTCTTGTCTGGGAAGCTTTTTATCTGTCCTTTGATTCTAAATGATAGTTTTTCTAGGCAGAGTAACCTTGATTTTCAACATTTTGAATATTTCTTGCCAATCCCTTCTGGTCTACAAAATTTCTGTTGAGAAATCAGCTGACAGTCTTATGGGAGCTCCCATGGAGGTAACTAAGCACTTTTATCTTGCTGATTTTAAGATTCTCTCTTTGTCTTTAACCCTTGGCATTTTAATTATGATGTGTCTTGGTGTGGGCCTCTTTGGGTTCATCTTGTTTGGGAATCTGTGTGCTTCCTGGACTTGTACATCTATTTCCTTCACCAGTTAGGGAAGTTTTCTATCTTTTTTTTTCAAGCAGTTTTTCAATTTCTTGCTCTCTCTCTTCTCCTTCTGGCACCCCCATGATGTGAATGTTGGTGGCACCCCCCATGATGTGAATGTTGGTAAAACAAGGAATGGCAGCAGAAGAGCCAGGAAGCCCAAATTGTTCTTATCCAATAACTTCTTAAACAGGTAGTTAGCAGATGAGTTAAAGCTAAAGTCACAAAAAAAGAATTCTGTGTATTCTGATTTACTCTATAAAAACATGGTTAAAGGATTAAATAACCATGTTTCATTTATGTTGCAGCAACATAAATGACTTCAATAAGAGATGGGAGGATGGGAAGAGAGCAGAAGTATTAACATCAAGGCGTACAATAGTTTCAACATGTTTTTTTATTTGCTCACAACATTCCAAACACAATGACATCATATTTCAACTATTGCTTTTACACAGAAATTAGCTGCTTTACCCAAAGTAAACAAAAATCTATTTTTTTATATTGGAAACTAGTAGTTTTTCCTGCAGGGAAAGCCAGTGCTTAAATATTTGTTGGAGAGTTTAACAGAAATATGAAATTGCTTTATCATAATATTGTAGTACTTGGGTCTTACCTGCACTACATTTAAACTTTCTCTTGTCAAAAGTTGAAGCCAGGAAAAATAAAGTTTACTTATGATTTTTTCCTCCCAGATTTTTAACAACTCTGTTAATTTTCATGATTAAAAAAAAAAAAAAAGCAGATGTGGAGAGGTTCATAAATATGAAAATGGAAATTAAGCCTCCTCAGCTTGTTCATGGAGAAGGTGGGTGGACAATTTATCCCAAGGAAATAGCTGCTTCACTAATTCAAGAAGGATAATAAGAATTATTGCTCTCCAAGCCAAACCTCTTCTCTTCAGTGCCATGACAACATGTAATCTTTCCTGCTCTGGCCACGAGTGTTCACTTTTCACACTCATGTAATGTGCAATCTTTGAGCAAGTTCTACCTCACTGAACACCAAGGGAAGAAATGTACATAAACCACTGTGAACACTGGAATAAGAATGAAGAGTACGTATGTTTTCACATAGAAAAATACATACAAATTCAAGTAGCTCTTAACACAGAAAAATTCAGGATGGACCTTCTCAATAAAAGGATGGGTTTTTAAACTGTAAACGGTGCCAGTAAGACACTGATTTTTCTATCTAACTATATCACATTTAATACAAAAAAAGGTTGGTCTTGGTTCACGGATATCCCCTGATTTCTCCCATTTTTAAAAGATTGTCTTTCAGAATATATCTGAACTACAACCACTTAATTATTTTTTTAGACTATCTTGTCACTGGCACACTCTCTTCAATCTAGCACATACAACAATTCATTTCAACACTGATTCACTTTACTCATGCTAAAACAATCATAATTTTCCTGCTACTTCAGTTCTATAACTACCCTGGTAGTTACGATTACAGAAACGGGATAGGTTCTCAACATGGATTTTAAAACTACATAAATTTCTAACATGATATATGTGGACAGCAAGGAAAAGGAGGAAGGCAGACACAATTATCCCATTTCTCTCTTCATCTATGTCGCTCTCACCTAAAAGCCAGAAGGCACATGTCACACTTTAATTTACAACCAGTGACACTCAGCTTGGTTTCCAGACTGTCAAACCTAAGAATCTGTGGGGTGCTTAGACCAGCTCAATATAGAGCTATCTGAAATGGTTACTGATTAGCTTAAGCAAAAAAAGAAAAAAGAACAATATCTATGCTATACACATAGAGGTGGATTTAAAGAACATAATATTGAGGAAACTTGCTAATGACATTTATAAAAATATTATGAAAAACATTTCTTTCTCCCTAGAAAGGAAAAAACTTAAACTACTTAAAAAGTTTCTCCTTTCATACTTGAGTCATTCTTTTATTAAGATACCGACAAAGATTTAAATCAGTTCAAGATCTCAGCTGTTGAAAGATTAAAATATAAAGGTAAGTATTTTCAACATAAAAATTCAAAGACTAACAGAATTACTTTCCATGTAATAGTAAACCCCGTGATAAAAGGAACTTTAATGGTTAACACTTGATCCTTATTGGGATTTTACTACAACTAGAACTCTAGTTGGATGATAAAGCATTAAAAATATATTTAAAAAATCAAGTTAAGATATTTACAAGAAACCAATTTTTAAACTCCTGTAATACTGAATAGCTAAACTGCCATGATTGTAATAAAATGAATGCAATTTTAAAACGTTTTATCTTGTTGAGAAAATCACAATTTTAATGCATGTACTTTTAATGTGCTATCCCAGCAGTCGCCAACCTTTTGGACCTCACAGACCACCCGTGGTCCGCGGACCACCGGTTGGTGACCGCTGCTCCAAAGGTTTCCTTACATCACCACATCTGTTATTTTCCAATTGAATATTTTTACCACTCTTCTCTTTGGCAAGTTTGAAGAGAGGTTTGTTAACAAGCATGAACAATACTTGAAAGTCTCAGGTCTTGATAAATCACTTAAGAGCTAGTCCTTCAACACTTACTATAGACCATATTAAAGGATGTACCAACTGTCGTCGTGTTTTAGATTAAATTATGTCTAACGGACAGGTTTCTGTAGGACTTAAGGAGAATTTACAATCATATGAACCCATCTTCAAACTCTTTTAGCTCTGCTATGAGAACTAATGTCAAAAACATAGGCAGAACAAACTATTCCCATTAGAATCTCATCACTATGTAATCCTTAACACGCTTGCTACTTTAGGAGGATAAAGCTGTACAAAATGCACAATCATCATCCTCAGGCTACTTTAGAATCCCACGAATTGCTAACTCAGAGAATATCCATACAGTTCATACATCATCAACTGGGAACACTATGGAGTAAAGCAGAGAAGCAAGATTTAACAGTAAGCAAAATAAGCCAATGACGTTTAACTGAGATTTTTATAAAGCTTTAAGTTTTCTTTTTGTTTAAGTTCAAAGACAGCTTTATTGAAACAGCAACTGTCCTTTGAATACAATCAAGATATTCTGAGCAAATACATCTCTTTTCATAAACACAGACAGGTAGAGAAACCCCATAAAAGGTTTTCATACCAAGTATTAACTCAGGTTTTTTCTACAACTGACAAAAAGCAAAGACTGAATATGAGAAAATGTCTTTAAGCTTTAAAATAACATTGCAATATTTCAAAGTGTGGTATTTAAAAACAAAAAAGCTAGTCACCAATACTGTTTTCTTATATATTATGCTAAGTAGTCAGGCAAACCAAAAAGGTTCTTCCTCCTCTCTGACATGTTGCTACGAAGCAACACTGACATGTGACTGAGAGTCAAATGAAAAAACCACAAAGAACCACTCTCTCCCCTAATTAACCTACAAATAAAATAAGAGAAAGAAAGTAAAGAACAATTACTTCCAAATTCAAAAACAAAACATGTTAAGAGCTTTGCAAAGATACCAACTTGATAACTACAACACATAAAAGTGAAAACTGATATTTACACATTTTAATCAACCAATTTAATACAAATACCTGATTTGTACTTTTATACTAAATGGGTTAAGTCCCAAGTTCCAAACTATAGTTCCTATGACTCCACAAAGGGGATCTTTGGAAGGATAAGGTACCTTTGGAGGACAGTGTATAAACAACTGTAAACGTACACTGATTGTCCACTAGCTTTCTTAAATAGAACTTCTGAAATATTTCTGTAGGAAATTATATATACGTAGTGTAATTGATCAGATAATTTCTATTACAACATATAAATTCTGTTGTGTGTGCAAAATGTGGTAGAAATAGAAGATACTAGGAATGATTCATATTTTTAAAGTAAGTGATACATTATAATCCAGTAAGAGTCCTTTAATCTTTTCATGAAACTTCTCTCTATATATGTTGAAATACATAATGCTTTCTGGCTTTTCTTCAAACCAAAACTTGTCAAATTCATATACAAGATAACCTGTAGTTAAAAAACAAAAACAAAAACAAAACACATAATGCTCAATAGTGACATCCAAACCATCTCATTGTAAAAGTATATAAACATCCATTGAACTCCATAGTCTATAATAATCATAAGTCATCGGAAACTACTAGAAACCTGAGGCATTTTAAAAGAATGTTCAAAATAAACAGCAATTTCAACAAAAACCCTCAAACTTAAAAGATATAATACTGTCAAATGATACCTTGAGAATAGGAAAAAAAATTATTCCCAGAGAACCCTGAAACACAAAAATGAAACAAGAAAATGTTGAACAAGGATAAATTACAAAAAAACTCTTTTCTATTTGATTTCTAAAATTCAGAGATATTTCCACTTTTTTCCAATGAATTATCAGCAACTTCTCTTTAAAAAGAATACATAAACTATATGCCCACCCAGCATGGCTCAGTGGTTGAGCTTCGACTTATGAGCCAGGAAGTCACAGTTTGATTCTCGGTCAAGGCACATTCCTGGGGTTGCAGGTCCGATCCCCAGTGTGGGGCGTGCAGGAGGCAGCCAATCAATGATTCTCTCTCATCACTGATGTTTCTATCTCTCTCTCCCTCTCCCTTCCTCTCTGAAATCAATAAAAATATATTTTTAAGAAAATACATAAGCTCTAAATAGGCTTAATATTTTTATTTTTCTGTCTTCATTACAGTCGCTAATTTAACCCTGAACATGTTGAAAGTATTTAATGCAAATAAATATTAAAATAAGTATATTTATAACAAAAAGTATGAATTTAAAAGCACTCATAAACCCTATTTAAATTGAACCTATAATGACTTTTTTATTCCAGATATTACTTTGATGCTCATCCTGGACCCGAGCCAAACAAGATGCTGGTGTTGAGGGCACTGGGGTCCACAGTAGCCAAAGATGCTCCAGTTACCCATCTTCATGGGAAGATGAATAATGGAGAAAGAAATGGATAACTGAAGGAACAGAGTCTCTGATAAGACTTCCCACAGAAGGTCACATCTAAACTGACATTGATGAGATGACTATGAGAAACCTGGGAAGAATGGAGGGAGCAGGAACTGTTCCAGGCTGGGTGAAAGGTCCAGTCATGAGAGAGCATGACATATTTGTGCAAATAACAGAGGACATGTGCTTAACCTTTAGTCTGCGGGGAGCTGGTGTGTGGCATATGTCAGGAGAGGTGATCAGGCATGGATTATGCAGGGCCTTGTCGGGGGTCCTTTTGGAAAGTTGTAGGCAGTGGGGTAGAATGACTAGATTTCCATTTTAAGTAACGACACCCTCAATGTGGAGAAGAACCAGAGGTCATCACAGAAAGACTGGTGAAAAGGTGATACAGGGACTTAGAAACAAAGGCCTGAGGTCACACAGTTACAGCGGGGATGGGGAACAGGAGATGAACACAAAAGAAATTTAGGAAGCAGACAATCCTGGAATTAAGGATTAAATAAAGAGGGGAGACTGTGGGAAAAAGAGATCTGGATGACACCTTCAAGCATGGAGTTGAAGTTAAAATTTGGCCGTTTATACCAAAGTAGTTTTCTGCCAACATGCAAATGACATTCTAAAGGCACAAAAAGATCAAGAAAAGTAGAGCATAAAAACTAAGCTGGATTTGAATTATTTGCTTCTGAGAAATATCTTCTGAAGATGGAGTTTATGCAATTAAATTGTCAATGTTCAAATGTCATCAAAATAAAAGTTAATGGAATAATGGTAATATGACTGCTTGAGGGAAATCTGTTAAGTAGCCCCAACCAAAACAAGACAACCTGGACTTGAAATAACTGGGGGGAGGGGGAGGAAAGGATCGGAAAAGATGTTTTTAAACTGAATTTCCTTACAAGAGTAACAAAATAATCTGCAAATAGTCAATAGCATTCATTAACCAGTATTCAAGAGGGAAAGTTCATTTTATAGTTGATTAAAAGATGGATACCTACAGAAAACTGCATAAACACTACATTTGCATACATGTGAAAAAACTGCCTCACTGAATATTTTTAATCAGCAAATAAAGAAACTGAAATACAAAATACTTCAGGGAACTCATCTTCCATTATTTTCCATTTTTCCAAAGATCCTAAATAACAAAATGATAGAGGAATTATACATTTTATCTTCCTAATGATTTAAAAATTCTCTTAGAATGATCTCCTTTTAATACTCACAATAAAACTGATGAAAGTGTTCCATTGTTGGTACACCAGGAACCAAGTTGTAGAGATGAAATTTCAAAGCTTCACTCTTCAGTAAGCTATAAGCCATCTCTGTCAGATTGATTCCAACTATTGCATAAGAATACCTATGTCAGAAATATTATTAGTTATACTAGCTAGCCAAATAGCTCATTAAATAAATTTGAAATTATGCAAGGAATTAGTTGCTTTGATTCATTTCTAACACAGTACTGATTTTACAATAATCTCTACATATTAAGAAAAATAATCAGAATAGATTTTAAAAATTTGTTCTTTAGAGGCTGTTGATGTCTGGATATAACTGAAGAAATAAAAATAAAGCTCTGGTCATATGAATATCTAAAACCAAAATCCTTAAAAAACCAAAAGGAGTACTATACTAATATATAAAGAGCCAGGGTCCATCATGACCTAAAATATCTGGACAGATGACCGAACACCAGGCTAGGGTCCTGGCCGGCGCGGCGGACATCAGTCCTGGGTCCCGGATGCCCACGGTGCGGTGGCGGGAGGGAGCTGTGGGAACGGAGCCATGCTGCCATCGGACTGGCCTCTCGGTCCCTCCCACTGTCCACAGGCCTGGGGAGAGCCATGCTGCAATGGGACTGGACCCTACCTGAGGGTTCCCGGATTGTGAGAGCGTGTAGGCTGGGCTGAGAGACCCCCCCCCCGAGTGCACAAATTTTCGTGCACCGGGCCTCTAGTATATATATTCTCATTGATTTCTAAAATACACTGGGTAATCTGACTTTTTTATTATCAGGATATTTATTTTTATGATGTAATATTGTTATAATGTTTTTTAAAAAATACGTATCACTGGAATATAAAAATAAAATAATATTATATGATAAAGCTAATAATATGACCTCAATTTGCATTTCATGGCACAAATTTCAAAGCTATTTCTCATAGTCCTATTCCTATTTCAAAACTATTTCCTATGTCTATTTTCAAATCTATTTCGCAAAAAATCTTAATAAAGGTCTTTTATCCCCATTTTTAAACTAAATCTTGTGATGAAAAATATTTAAATACATACAAAATTTGTTTAAAAATAACTCAAAATACTTTCAAATGAGATGATCTAACCAACTTAAATTAGAGAGCTTATAGTTTCTTTAATACATCTGGCTTACCCTAATTTTGGGTGATTTGAACGGGAAAGAATCTGATGAGCTTCCCTGGTATAATTTTCACTGAAGTACCTAAAAAAGTTTATGAAAAATAATGAAATTAACAGAAGTCATTCAAATTGGAGCTGCACAAAAGCAATTTTAAAAAGTTACTGTCAAAATGATAGTCCTAGTACTGCCACAATCACCCCAATCAATTTCCATCCCAAATCTTATCAGTGACTCAGAATGCTGTTGAATCAATCAAAATTTAATTCTGAACTATCAGGCCTCTCTAACACAGGCCACAGACCCTTGACAAGGCTTTAAGATTATTTTTAACATATAAGTAAACTAACAAAAGACTTTATATCTACCTTTAAAAAAGTCTAGAGTTCTTTTTATTTGCTCTAAATTTTCTATAAAATAGTCAATGCGCACCTGTTAGGACATTCTTCCTTTCACGTGGGCTTATTCATTCTATGACAACTTAAGCCTGTATTGTTTAATACTACTTTCAGTGCAATTAGAAGAATGTCAATAAACTCCATTTTGCACTAAACAATCCACCTTGATCTGTGGTATAACTAAAATTCTGGCCATAAAACACAGAAGTATTAGGAGAAACAGATAAAGCTATCTCTTTGTAGGCTCATCCATCCTGTTGGCTTGAACTCATGCAACCTCTGAATTCTTAAATGTAGAGACCAAATCTGTTCAACTCTTTTTAAAATATATTTTTGTTGGTTTCAGAGAGGAAGGGAGAGGGGGAGAGAGAGGTAGAAACATCAATGATAAGAGAGAATCATCAATTGGTTGCCTCCTGCATGACCCCTACTGGGGATCAAGTCCACAACCTGGGCATGTGCCCTTGACCGGAATCAAACCCGGGACCCTTCAGTCCACAAGCCGACGCTCTATCCACTGAGCCAAACCAGCCAGAGCCTGTTCAACTTTTGAATCACCTCATAGTGCATTAGGAGTCATACACATGGACATATATGATGACTGACTGGATGTTGATGAAGATTTACATGTTTTATTTAAATTTTAGAGCACAATCACTGAAATTTTCATAAAGTATACAAATTTCTAACCAGATTTTCCCTTCTCTACTTTTCCTCAATTGTACCATAATGTAGCTCAATTTCAGGACTAATTTCTTTATAGTAACTATAAGAACCTTGTTAATCATTAGGGTTCCCATTCCAGGTATTCTGCCGTCTATAAATCACAATTCAAGGATAGACCCACACACCAGAATCTCTTCATTTGCATACCTTATAGGAGAAAAGTAATCTTCTAGTCTACTTTCTAGAATATTTCTGGCTATCAATTGTGATTTTAGTTACATATTTTGCAATTTCATATATATGTGCCCAAGCATAAGTATTAAAGAAGAAAAGGAGAGAGACTCCATACAGATTCTGAAAGCCTGAGATTTAGATCACTTGCCACATATGGTAAAGAATAAGTGTAAAGAGATTTCATTATCATTTTACCTGGTTACATTTCCCAAAATGGAATCAGACAGCCAAAAGGGGAGAGGCGAGAGGGTCAAAGAAAGTAATAAAAACCCAGTCAGTGTGGCTCAGTTGTTGAGTGTTAGCCCATGAACCAGGTCATGGTTTGATTCCTGGTCAGGGCACATGCTTGGGGTTGCAGGCTCGATCCCCAGTGTGGGGCTTACGGGAGGCAGCCAATCAATGTTTCTCTCTCATCCATGTTCCTATCTCTCTATCCATCTCCCTTCCTCTCTCTAAAATCAATCAATCTATCTATCTATCTATCTACACACACGTGTGTGTGTATATATATATATATATATATTAAAAATAATAAAAGTGTGTAAATAATTCCATAGGAGGTATCAGAAGGGAGGCCAGAAAGAGAAAGGAAGAAGAAAGGTATTGGTAAGTAAAGAAATCACACACACATACATGAGTACATTTCCAATGTCTTCCTATTGTTGTCAACACATTAGTAAATACTTTTAGCACTGCAGCTATTAAAGTTTAGAGATAATAGGAAACTAAATTGGAGATTACATGTAATTTCATTTAGAGAAGAAAAGAAAGTTTATTTTCACTTACACAAGGTTGATTAATCCAAGTATGCCCATGCCTCTGAAGTCCGTTTTGGGATCATCACCCTGGAAACCAATGTCAGCCCATTGCTTGGAGATTCTAGCTTTCAATTTTTTCGTGGGCATTAAAAGATTCCAAAGCTGTACAAACATGCTTCCATATTACAAATAATAGTGATATTCTTAAGTTACCAAGATTTTTTCCTTCTCATAGCTGATATAACTAATAAATTAAATGTTTTCAATTAAACAATTTTTGTAGACAAATTATAGGTTTGACAAAGACTATGTTTAGAGAACTTTTCAATTATCATAAAAATGTAGTATATTTATTCCAACTTAAAAGACATAAAAATTTTGAAACAAATACACAGAAATCTAAAACAATGAGATGTCTTTATTTGCTAAGTAACTATATATATAAAAGCCTAAGCGACTGGATGATTGGACAACCGGCCGGTAGCTATGACACGCACTGACCACCAGGGGGCAGACGCTCAACGCAGGAGCTGCCCCCTGGTGGTCAGTACATTCTCAAGGCGGAAGCGCTGCTCAGCTGACCAACGGGTGCCAGACGCCTTGCTCATGGCTGGCGAGCACAGCTGTTGTGGTGAGAGCTTCTCCCGCAGACACTCCCCCTGGGTGCCCGAGTGCGCACCAGGCACAGCTCAAGCTCCTCCCTGGCCACCTGCCACTTCACGCACTACTTCGTGCTGTGAGGGATTGAAGCGGACAGCAGCCTGGAGCCTGACAAGCTGGCGGGTAAGGCGGGGCTGTGGTAGCGTGGAGGTCCACTGATCCCCTGATCCCTGCAGGCCAGGCTGAGGGACCCCACTGGTGTATGAATCTGTACACCGGGCCTCTAGTACATATATATTATATAACAGAATTGGTAAACTACTTCCATGAGAATAGTGTTATGTACTTGGCCCTTTCCTTTGATACTATATATTTAAGTAGGCTCTATTCTAAGATTGGAATTATGAAGAAGTAATACAGAGAGTATTCAATCCATATGATTACTATTTTATAAACTTTCATAGCTTTAATTTTTTGTGGGACCTCTTCCTTAAGTCTACTATATCACTTCTAAAGATTGCTAATAATTTTTTTTAGCATTTTTAGTGCCAGATCTGTACTCTCATGTTTTTTACTTTAAGATCTTTATCTAGGCAATCATAATTGTTAATTGTTTCATTTATTCTATTTTTCCTTTGGCCTTTCTTAGTTCAGTTAAATGGAATTGCCTATGGTCTTTCCTCTAATCCTATTTCTTAATGGCCACTATCTTAATTTTATTCTCTCAATAATCTCACTGAAGGTTTTCCTAGTTAAGGAACAGAAACTTGAATACTCTAGGACTTTCCCAGTAGAACTACTTGACTTGAATATCTGAACCATTTAAAGGAAAAACAAAGGTGCAATATTTAATATCAATATGCTTTTTGGTTAGTTTCTATGATTTGTTTAATTAATGAGATTAGGAATTCCTTAATCAACTACCCTGCTCCCAAAATGGGGAGCAGATTTACCAGTTAGTTGCATGTGAACTACTGTGTTTCCCCCCCTTGGTTTTTCTTTTTACTTTTTCAATTGAACTTATTGGGGTGACATTGGTTAATAAAATTATAATGGTTTCAGGTGTACAATTCCATATTACATCATCTGTCTATTGTGCTGTGTGTTCACTATCCCAACTCAAGTTTCCTTCCCTCTCCATTTATCTCCCCTAAACCCTCTTCTATCCCATCCATGCCTCCTTTCCCTCTGGTAATCACCATACTGTTGTCCGTGTCCATGAGGGTGTTTTGCTTTAAAAGAAAGAAAATAATATGACTTGGTTTTAACTGAATATATTCCTTAAAACTGAGATAAAATATCAGGCATCTATCATAACATAACATAAGACAGCTTTCAAGTGTTAGATAGCAACATAAAGTTTAAAAAACTTAATCATTTTCTAAATTTGACACCACACATCATCAAACAAAACAGACGAACAAAATTGATAAGTTTATGAAAATCTGAGAACAGAAATATGTTTTTTTTTGTTTGTTTCACTACCACTTCAGGCATTGTTGAATAAAGGGCTCCTAATAAAAGTATCCTACTACCCAAAATAAAATGCAAAGACCTGTGACCCTGCTTTAAAACAGGGCAAGACTCTGCTGGCTCTGAAGCTAAATCAGTGATTAGAGTGGGTTTTATCTGGTCCTTCTTTAAATTACTAACAGATTTTCTTTTACATATTTATAATCTATTTCAGAATTAAAAGCATTTAAAATAATATTTATTTGAATATACTTTAATGATGCTTATCAGAAAATTACAAAAAGAGTTAACTAAAAATCTTTCACCAACAGAACAAAATTCTCTAAGGGACAATGACACTGGATGGCTGTACAAGCCTCGAGAACTTGCACACAGACCTTACTAGCTGATTTATTTTTGCAGTGTTCACTAACTCCAAATGCAGAAAACAAAACTTACCTTGAGAAGCAGCTTTTCATGTTGCAGGTTATCAGAATCATACGGTTTTTTTCTCACACTTTCTACATCCAAATAGAGCTGTCTGTAACCGGATATCTGCAGTAAGCATGCCTTCATGCATATTTTAAAACTGAAAATAACAAAATTATTATAAAAAATCATTCCTTCACAATAACATAATGCCTTCCATAGCTTGTGGTTCATAAGTCTATTTAGAAACCATTTCCTAGCTTACAGTTTAATACAATAGGCATCAATAGCCTCCTTAAACACAAAACTTAATATAAAGTATCAGGAAGCGTATAATAAATCACGATCTAGAAAGAGGACAAGACATGGTAGGAAGCGCAAGCTTGGTAACTGTGTCTTCTTTTCCTGTTTTTCCTGGGCAATCTCATACATTCCCAAATCTTTACGGCCAATTATCACCAAAAGACCGAATTTCCCAAGAATACGCATATAACAAACAAGTCCAGGACAGGTGATCTCAGTTCTCCCAAATACAACAGCTTGTCCTCCCCGAGGAAACATGCTTTTTCTTAACAAGTCGCTAACCCTATTAATGACCTCACTAATCAGTAGTTCCCCAAGCTACAACCCTCCGAGCTCTGACTTTCCTCTCTGCACCAATACATCAAAAGATCCCCAACCCTCATCCTTTCTGTCTCTGAAATGTCCCTCACAGCTATCATCATATATTCATTTATGCTGATGTATTTATAGCTTTGTCATCTCTCACTTGAAGGAGTCAAGTTTCCTAACTGTTCTCTCTTATTCCTTCTGCCAGCCTCCCACATCCCCAAATTTCTATTTTCTTCAAAATACGTATCTGATAATATGGCTTGTTTGCTTAAAAAAAGAAAAAGAAAAAAAAAAAGAAACCCAGAGAACAACATCTGCCCCTCAGTGTGAGATGTAGTCCAGCACTCCAGTCCTCCAACCACCACTCTGCACGAGTTCAATGCCCCAGCTACAAAGACTCCCGATCATTCCCAGATACTGCAGCACTTGTGCCCAGGTGGCATTCTTCCTCTGCATGGCATGTCCTCCCTACCCATTCAATAAGGTCCAGCTCAAATGTCACCTCTTCTGTGGCACTATCCTCAGTTCTTTCCGGTACCCTTCCCTGTTCCAGCCCAAATAAATTGCTCCTGCCCTGACTGGTTTGGCTCAGTGGATAGAGCGTCAGCCTGTGGACTGAAGGGTCCCAGGTGTGATTCCGGTCAAGGGCATGTACCTTAGTTGTAGGCACATCCCCAGTAGGGAGTGTGCAGGAGGAAGCTGATCAATGTTTCTTTCTCATCAATGTTTCTAACTCTCTATCCCTCTCCCTTCCTCTCTGTAAAAAATCAATAAAACATATTTAAAAAAATGCTCCTTCCTCTATATTTACACAGAAAATGCTGACTAAAGAACAAATTGCTGAATACTTACAAGTCAATGTACTGGTCCTGAGAACTCAAAAATGGAATAAGTCAAGTCCTTCTCTTATGGAACTTAAAATTTATTAGGGAAGAACAAGAGTAAATCAATGATTGCAGTACAATGGCTTATGCTATGATGGAGAGCTCTGTGACAGGACAGAGCAGGGGCCCCTAACACAGACTGGGGGGGGGGGGCCAGGGAGGACCTTCCTGGAGAAGGACAGAGCAACTGATCTTTGAAGGAAGAAGGACATAGCAGCTGCAGTTATGTAACTTTGGGAAGGTAATGGTAAGTTACCTTAAAGAAGGCAGGTGGTAAATAGGCAACAGTGCTGGGCAGGGAACCAAAAGATACAGGCGTTTGATCTGTTTCTGTCACTCTCCTCTCTGGACCCCCTGAAAGCAGGGAATCAGATGCTCTCCACTGCCCTTCCAGCTCTAACGCTTTCCAACTGCGTGTGATCACCACATTCCCAGGATGCAGGCGCATCATAAAAAAGAACACTGCCAAACAGCATACCTGACATCCTTCTCCGGGTTGATATTCTTTTCTCTCATTATATCTTCTATGCACTTGTCCACTTCACTCTGAACAACAAGTGTTGCTTTCTGTAAAACCTACAGATGTGATAAACAGCTGATTGAGAAAAATCCCCCACCGAAAAAGAACAGTAAATTTTGAGGTATTTAGTCAACTCTACAATGCAGATTTTAAATGCAAACCGAAACCAAATTTGTTTCAAATTTTCAGTAGGGCTTAAATCACTCAACCAATTAATTAACTGAAAGAGAAGCAACATGTTTCAGATGAAGACTTCCTTAACTGAAAATGAACAGGTTCTCTTAGCGAATGAGCTACCACCACAGTGTGTTTATGAAGTAGACACTTCTTATAAAATTCAAAAATTACATAAAAATATATGCATAGCCCTGACTGGTTTGGCTCAGTGGATAGAGTGTCAGCCTGTGGACTGAAAGGTCCCAGGTTCGATTCCGGTCAAGGGCATGTACCTTGGTTGCAGGCACATCCCCAGGAGGGGGTGTGCAGGAGGCAGCTGATCGATGATTCTCTCTCATCGATGTTTCTAACTATCTCTCTCCCTTCCTCTCTATGAAAAATCAATAAAATATATTAAAATATATATATATGTGCATAAAAATTTTAAAGGCAGAAGTCAGAAAATTTTTAAATGCAGAATAACACAAAGAAGAAAACGCAAATAATCTTGTAATCTTACCACCAGTGACAGCCACCGGTAACAGAGTAGCATATATGCCTCTGGTCTTTGTTCTATGCAAACAAACAGATTTCTTAAATAATACAACCTATAAATGTCCACTGGATCCTTCCTTCCATCAAACAAGTAAGTGCATGAGAACCTATCCTAAGGACACAGCCTAAAAGAATGTTTTCCCCCAAGACTTGCTTCCCCCCAAACTATCAAGTCTTGAGACAAAATAAACAAGCAAAAACTTAAGAACAGGACAAATTATTCAAATACCTTCTTTGTGCATGAATAGCGCACGCGCAAACACACACACACACGCAGAGGAAATATTTTAACAATTAAAAATTACTTCTAAAGTGGGAAAATTTCACTCAATACTTTATACAGCAAAGACTCTTCTGGTAGGACATTAATAATTAATTCTAAAATTGAAGCATCCTTTTAAAGGAAAAGTTATCTTGCAATTAAATTTTCTGGAATTATCACCTCGATATGATCCTACCTTATTCTTGGAGTACATCAAGGAATTTTCTGAAATGGAAAAAAAAGGATGTTATCCCTTAAATACTGTTTGTAAATTACTCCATAGTCAAAGAGTATAAATATCAAGTCAATAATACATTACTTTCTAGAAGATAATACTTTTACTTGAATAACATAACAAACATTTAAAAATTTCATCCTTACAGTATCCTTACAGACAACTAGATGATTCCAAAATCCTCAATCCAACACAACATACCACAGGCACAGAGGTGAGGCCGACCTAATTTCCCCAGTCATCTGTTTCTGTGCAGACCTCCAAGTGTACTAACCACTGCAAATTCACACATGGCTACCTCGGAACAGCTCCTGTCCCAGAAACTCGTGGTAAGACTAAAGTGAGAGTGCTCTCTACTACATTTTCTTCATTTGTTAGCCTGAAGGAGTAAGCGTTTCCATTTCAGGAGCTAGCAACTGAATCAAACAACAACACAGTGGCAAAAATGAAAAGACTTTAGATTATTTACCCATCCTCAAACCAAATAGCAACACAGCTTCTTCATTCTTGTTTTCTATTTCAATAAGAATGAGTAACATTTTTATTGGTTTAGTAAACAATTTTTTCTGGCACATTTGCTTAAAGATTTTTTTTCTTAGCAATTTGAAAAATTCCAGAAAAATGCTTTTGCCACAAAGTAAAGCATTAACGTATGTCCCCCTCCCCCGCCACACACACACTATAAAACACCAATGCTGCCAAGATTTCTTACCAAGAGGTACTTTGTTCTCAGAACAGTTAAAAGGGCAAATCAAAAGAGCAGGCAATAATTTAAGTCAGCCACAAAGTTGTGAGAAAAGTAAGGAAGTAAACAAACTTCAATCATCCAGCTGCCCCGAGGCTTACTCTCTCTTTATGTCTGTCATCCTTTCATGTTGCCTTGGATACCAACACCCACTCCCCAAATCTTACCGGGGTGGATTGCTTAGCTGAAGCACCCTTGCTCAATTCAAAGAAAGCCTGGTTAAGTCATGGTTTTCCATTCAACACAGTGAGCATCAACTGCGGCCGGTCGCTGGCCTCCTTTACCCTGGCCAAAGAGAAACGACCTCCACCGTATTTGTCACTCATCTGTGTTCTAATTTAAAGTAATATTTTCAATTATGCATTGCAAGCTGATGAACTTCAAAAGGTACTAGAGCAGTATTGTTCAATAGAAACATAATGCAAGCCAAAATGTGTGCCACACGTGTACTTGAAAATCTTCTAGAGCAGCCACATTAGAGTAAAAGAAACAGATAAAATACGTTTTACTATTTTAAACCAACATACCCAAAATATATTAAACCAATATGCCCAAAATATTTCCACATATAATGAATATGAACAATTATAATCTTGGTTTATATGAAGTCTTTCAAACCTCGCGCATAGTTTATGCTTCTGCTCAAATCACATTTCAGGTGCCCAATCGCCGCCTGTGGCTACTGGCTAGCTAGAGTTCTAAACACTGCATGTTGTGAGTCTAATAATGATTCCTAGGGATCACTGTATACCTAGTATTGTTCTTTCATGCATTACCTAAGAGATAAAAGACTGACGAAGGACGCTGAGCATAAAAATGGATGTAGACAGAGATACTCTTTCTCATCACTTGGATGAAAATTTCAAAGGGCTTATAAAAGTCTGGAGATTTTTCTCTAAAATATAGGTTAAAACTATAATCTAAGGCACAACTAATGAATTTCAGAAGCCAGAGAAAATAATTGTTCGCACAGATGGGAAACTTAAATAATAATCCCTTTCTTTTTCTGCAAGGCCATGTAGTTTTAGAGCTGAAAGGATTCAATGCTAGATTCCAACGATTATAAAACTGAATTTAGGTGACTTGATCAAGACACACAATGAGTGCATCTGTCACTGAATATTGAGAAAAAAAATATTCATTCAGAGTAAAAAATTCATTAGTTTTAATTATTCTTTTTCAAATAACATTACCTATCCTGTGTGTCCTTTGTGCACCTACATAGGTATCAAAAATTCGCTGCAATTCACACTTTCCAGTCATCTGTCGTAAGAGCCATTTCATCCAAAATCGAAAAAAGTGCCCATAGAAGAAGTCCCACAAGGAAATAAACATTTTTTTCCTGGAGAAAGAAATATATGACAGGTTTAATTACCTTAAACTGGATTTTAAAATGGAAAAAAAATTAGTTTATCCAACTTACCAAATCTCAAATTTATAATATCTATTATGCTATACCACTGTAGAAGTGTTTTAGGAATCTAAGGAAACAATGACAGGTGTAATATATACTATTTAGATTAAATGATGGCTGGTCAAATGACCAATTTATCACTTGTAAAAAAAAAAAATTACTGTCAAATCACAACTACTTACTTAAAGTTCTCAGTTCCCTATTTTAATTTTTCATTCTTTGAGATTTGGGGCTCAACAGTTCACGAACAAAAGGAACCCAACTAAACAACAATTAAATAAAATACCCCATGTATCAGAATTGTTATTATAAGGAATAAGCTTTTCTTGATCTCTTGTGGATCTATTCCTGTCAGGTGATGCCAGCGAATAAAAACACTACACATGGCTTACAAACTCAAGTACACAAGTTGAGCACCGAGTAGATCAAATCCTGGCTAAGTCTTGATTTTCCTTCCAACAGGCGAAGGACTGATTACTAGAGGGAAATTAACTACGCCCACAATAAAACGGAATCTTTATGTCATAAGACAAACCTTCAACTCCTAAATGAAGCGCGATGGGGGCAATGCGAGTGAGTAATTACTTAACAATAAACAAAAATGCTCATCTCCTTCCTGCCTTAGACATTCCCACTTAGACATCCTCTCTAGACCAGGGCCTGTGAGATTGTCAGTTTCGAAATCCCCGCAGGTCGGAGCAGAAACGGTGCTCATCGGAGATGGGCTGAACTGGAGCGTGAACGTGACCCATCGAGACAAAGGAACTGCCAAGCGGAGGGAGAGCAAGCCTCGCGGCGCCTGAGCTCCCCAGACCCGGGGAGTCGCTGCGCCGAGGGCCCGTTTCGGAGCCCGGCTCCATCGCTGCCCGCGAGCGGAGGGAACGGCTCGCACAAAGCCCCGCCGGCCCGGCGCCCCGCGGCTCTGCTGTGGGACACCGCGGGGCTCGCGCCCCCGCACGGAAGCAGCACGGGGCGAGAGGAAAGAAAGAGCAGCCACCTCACAGGAGCGGAAGAACTAGGGGAAGCTGGAGTCTGCCTCGGTTTCCCCAACTGCAAACAGCCGGCAACGGAAACGACGCTACTCGCACTGCGTTCCCCACTAGCACTGTGACCCGGAAGTCGGGGAGCGAGGCAACGGGAACGCCTTACCCGAGACACTGCCCGCCCTGCCCCGCCCCCCGACCTCCTCTGATTGGTCCGTGCTCCACCAATTGCTAACGCCGCAAGAAGGTCGAGCAGAGTTGCTTTGGCGCGCGCGTGCAAGTATTGAAAGGACGCTAGACGGTTCCCTAGCAACGGCTACCTGGAGGCACGCCCCGCCCCGCAGATTGGTCTCACCTGGGGCTGCTCTGGATCCTTCGCTCGCGGTCTTTTGAGCAAGCTGACACCGTGTGCGGCTTCTACATTCCAGGCGTGGAAGTGCTTTTGATAGCTATCATTGCGCTTTCACCTACATTGAATCTTCATTCCGTGTATTTTCCACCTTCCGTTCACATATACGGAGGACCGACTTAAATTCTACGTGGATTTTCTACTGTATATTGGACCCCAGCCCCACGTTCAAAGGTCAGCTGTAATTATGAATGGTCCCACTTTACGGATGCGGAAACAGAACGTTTAATAACTTGCTCGTGGCTAATCAGTGGCAGATAAGGAGAATCCTATATGTTGAGGAAAGAAGTGTGGACTTAGTACTATAATAATAAACATCTAACAGTTAATTCATCAAACATTTATTCCTTAACTGGTTGTTTTTCTTGACAAAGAAATGTATGTCCTGATTTTAAAAAGTCACATCTCTTAATTTAAGCATTTGTTGTTTGCTTGTTATGTACCAGTCAGGGTTCCAAAAGGTAGTCTTACAGTAAATAAACACAAATATTTATGCCAGGTGGTCCTAAAATAAGGCGTATGGGGAAGGGAGTTTTTACATACAGGTAGTCAGGGGAGTCTCTGTGTTAAGGTGACATTTGAGCAGTGTCCAGATGAAGTAAGGCAGTGAACCTTATGAGTGCGTTCTATTCTAGGCACTAGAATGGCAAGCTCAAGGGCCTTGAACCAGGAAGATACTTCGTAAATTGGAGGAATAGCAAGAAGGCCAGCGTGGCTGCAGGAAAAAGAAGGGAAACGCAGAATGTAAGTACAAAGGACAATTTATATTGAAAGATACTCCCCACCTATACACACACACACACACACACACACACACGACTCCTGATCCCTGAGCCCCCTTGCTCGAAAACAACCAGTATTAGTTTCTGGTTTACACCTCCAGGAATATTCTATGTAAATGTGTATATGTATATTCCCTTCATCCCGTTGTTAACACACATTAAAGCAGCAAAACACACTTTTCCACACCTCAATGAACATTTTTTAAAAGGTACTAATTGTAAAACACCAGACATGTGAAGCTTGCATAAGCCATTATCCCCACTCCATAGAAGCAACTAATGGTCAACTTGGTAATGAAATATGGACATATAATAATAAAATCATAGAATCTTAGGTCTTGAACTTGAAGATCACTTCATTGAATATTGAATATTTTTATTGCACATAAGAAGATTCAGAAAGGCAAAGTATACAGCCAATTTGACAAATTAAGAAGTAGAAACTAATTTCTGTTTCAGGGGTCTTTGCATTAGCTCATAAGACCTTTGTGAAATAGAAAGTGAGATAATCCTGTCATAAAGTGATAGAACCCTTTTACCTTTTCAATGTGCTGTACTGACGGTAGGGAGTGCAGAGAGCTCTTCTTGTCTTCATGCTGCCTGTTGGCCTACTTCAATCATGTTTTTCTCCAAGAGAAGAGACTGCTAGCCTGTTTGGTCAGAACCTGAGAAGTGAATTGAACTGCACTTATTGGAATCAGGGTCCCTGTACATTAAATTGTCATGTACACGTGACTGCCTATTTGCATGTAACTGGCAAATATATTAGACCAGATTTGTCCCTCTGGGAAGATTGACCTTCTTATTCTCAGATTTCTTTCTTCCATGTAGCTTGGCTTAATGGTGCTTAAGTCCTAAGCTTAGAATTCTGGCTTCAAGAAAAAGGTGGGACCTACTTAGGTCTCTAACTAAGCTATGTGCTTTTACCTGGTCTTATCATGGAAAACAAAGGCTGCAGCCCACTGGAGTTTGGTAATATTTTTGAGTAGTACTGAAGAGTCCCTGCTTTCTTGGATTATCAGACTAAGACACTGGGCTCTTGGATAAACAAACTAAGACACTGTTGATTTTAGAAGCTGCTTAATAGAAAGGGTTATTAGTATGGCTGTTAATCAACAACTTCTTGCAGTGTTCAGCATTTGATCCATAGAGAACCCAAGTTAAATATTAATGGTCCCTTTTGGAGTTTTAAAGTCTGGAATGCAGTGAATTTATACTGAGAAATGGGTTTCCTCTGAGGAAGCATTAAAAATATTAAGGACAGCCCTAACCAGTTTGGCGCAGTGGATAGAGCGTCAGCCTGCACACTCAAAGGTCCCAGGTTCGATTCCAGTCATGGGCATGTACCTTGGTTGTGGGCACATCCCCAGTAGGGAGTGTGCAGGAGGCAGCTGATCGATGTTTCTCTCTCATCGATGTTTCTAACTCTCTATCCCTCTCCCTTCCTCTCTGTAAAAAATCAATAAAATATATTTTTTAAAAATATTAAGGACAGTGGCAGCCCTGATTAATTTATGCTGATTTGCATTGCATTTCCCTGAAACCATGTTAGGCACTGATTAGGGGGAACTCCTCATGTTTAGGTATGATTCTTTCAACGGGATAACGGTGAAATATACAGAATGCCAAGGCAGATTTGTTCTCACAGCCACTGGTAATGGGCTTTGCAAATGAAAGTTTAAGCTATTCAGAATTAAGTTATGGGCTGGGGTGGAACTGGTAACCAGAACAAAGAAAATAAACATCGAATCAGGTAGAACTATTTATGATTGGTGGTGTTGTTTTTTAAGTCAGGGGATAAAGGGGAATAGAGGAGCAGGAAAATTAACAGGGCCCCTACAAAGGGTTTGGTGGCACATTAATTATAGCTGAGATGAGGGAAGCCCACTCTAGCTTCTGCATCCACCTCACCTAGGTTTACCTGTCAGATCTGCTCCGGTTATCCCAGCCTGCATGAGTTTAAAGCCAGTGATGTTGAAGGAAAATAAGGTATGTTTAGCTCAGGGTAGTGATTTTAATTCAACTATCAATGTTGTGGGAGAAAAGGGCAATCAACTTGACGGTCAAGAAATCTTTATTTGACCCAGGTCAGAGGTCTAAGATTGTATGATATAGTCAATGTTGAGTGGCAGAGGCACCACAACATTTTGAAGGACTATTTGGCAAGCTCTAAAATATATATAATGGGCAGTGGCCCACGTATGCTTCTGAGACCCTACCATTCCAACACATTCACACATAATTTTAGAAGTTTCTGACACCAGAATACACACAAACGGGAGGCTTTGAATGAAACATAATACCGCCACCTTGTGGCTACCACTGGGATGTTTAGACTCAAAAAGTTCCTGATGATGGTGCTAGAGAGCTAGTTTGCCAGCATGAAAACATTTCCTATAACTTAAGGGTGGCAAAGTATATTAAGATCTGAACTACCTATGATACGATATGGAAAATATCAGAAGGAGATCATTATAAAGGGGAAGCGGCACATGTAAACTCTCAAATAAAATGGAATTTGTTTCTTGAGCGGTATCTCCGAAGTGTTATAACACACAGATGAGCAGGTGCATCTCTGCTTTAGAGCTAATTCGCAGTTGACTTCTGTTGCTGAACAGTTGAAACCTCAAAACTCTCCACTAAAATAAAACACATTTCTTGGTTTATCCATGAGAGCTAGTGTACAGTAGAATCTCCATTAAAAAGTCACCTACTCTTTGTTCGATGGGCAGTAAATAAGTCAATGCAATGGGCCAAGTTGAGAGCAATATACATGGCAGTGAAGGAATAACTTAGTTCTGTGCCTCAGGGCAAGGTTTCAACATTTAAAGAGTCACAGGCAGTAACCAATATGAGAACATTGGTGAGTAAAGATTAAGAATAGCCCCAGTGTAGGGGATGCAATTGTGGGAAGCCCTAAGGAACTTCCAAGAGAGGGTCATAGTGGCCCACAGAGATGCCCACATCAAGGATTGAGTTGGTTCAAGAAGATCAGTGAAATGTCAGGCTGATGCCCTGTCATTCCCTAGAAGTAGCCACCTCGGTAATTTTAGCGAGGACAGTGGTGCCAAAGGCATGCGGTAGTGGTGGAATAAGGATGTATATCACTTGTCTCTTAAGTCATCAGTATGGTAGGAGACTGTTGAATACTAATCACAACACTGAAAAAGTAGCCATTTAAAGATGACATTTGGAATAGTCTCCTGGGCACAGGGATCCAAGCCTATAAACCAGTGAATTATATAGGATTTCTATTTTCAGTCCCTAGAGGAGTCAGATGGGTTTGACATTTATTCTATCTTGGGCCAAAGTCCAAACCCTGTCAAGGCTATCTGGTTTCCTGTCATACATCTCTCTGGACCAGCGGTTCTCAACCTGTGGGTCGCAACCCCTTTGGGGGTCGAACGACCCTTTCACAGGGGTCACCTAAGACCATCGGAAAACACATATATAATTACATATTGTTTTTGTGATTAATCACTATGCTTTAATTATGTTCAATTTGTAACAATGAAATTGGGGGTCACCACAACATGAGGAACTGTATTAAATGGTTGCGGCATTAGGAAGGTTGAGAACTGCTGCTCTGGACCAAAGAATGCATCCCACACCCTAGTGTGCAGAAATAGGCTCCCCAAATCCCAACCTGACATGAACATAGTGTATTCCTTACCATCTGTAAAGTAGTTATTAACTTGATACTAAAACTGGTAACAAACATTATTGAAAATACAGTGTGAAGATATGGAGGGCTGACCGGATCACTTAGGTGAATGTGTTTTGTTCAAATATGAGAGGAACTAAAGGGGGAACGGTTTTAACAAAGGACATGAACCAACCATTCCCAATTTTGTGGCTTAAAACAATAACTTATTTCTTGTGATTCTGTGGGTTGTCTGGCCTCAGCGAGGCAGCTCTGCTAGTTTTATGTGGGGTCCCCACATCGCTGTGTTCATTTAGAGCTCGGCTGGTGCTGGAACGTCCAAGATGGCCTCTCGTCCTTGTGTCCCTCTCCACGTAGTCTCTAAGCATTCGGTGATTTGGATTGGCCTTCCTTACAGCATGGCAGTTGGACTTCAAAAAGGAGAAGGTAAAAGATGCCAGTCCTCTGAAAGCCCGGCTCAAGAGTCCCAGAACATTCCTCCCCTACTTTCGATTGATCACGAGTGATAAGGTGGGTGACCGGCTCCATTCTACTTGTGAGCAGCAACATGCACAGATGAAAGAATTGTTGAAGTACCACAGTTTCCCTAAGGAAAATTTAAGTGCTATTGCCATGGGAAGGACAATTAAAAACAAAAACAAAAACAAAAAACCCCCAGCCCTTGTTGATCCATGTTGGACTACTTGTCTGTACCACATTCCTGTGTCTGTTCATCTAGTTGTTGGGTTGTAAGCTCTGCTTGCTGGAAGGGACATCTTCAATTTGTCTTCCGTAGGCTTTTCATTCAGGAGGAAGTCCTAGAAGCTTGTGAGCTCTTTTTCCACTAGTCAGGCTAGTCATGGTACATTCATGAGTATAAGAGACAAATTTTTTCATTGAATTTTTTATTTTATTTAGAGGGTATGTGGGGGGGATAAATGGTGATGGAAAAAATAAGAGGCTAATTTTGTACATATTGTTAACTTCTGGAATATAAAGGCCAAGGGGACATAATAGATTCCCCTACACTGGTGGTGGAGGATGTGGTGTCTTTATTAAATAAGTATCTTGGGATGGTTTGGGTATTTTTCTAAGTATAACCTATGCTTCTATGGAATGCTATCATGCAGTGATTCTCAAATGTAGTTCCCGGGACAGGAACAGGATGGAAGGACTCAATGAGAGAAAAAAGGAGACATCTGTAATACTTTAAGCAATAAAGATAAACTAAAAACAAGCAAACAAAAACAAAGTGTAGTTCCTGGGGCCCACAGCATCAGTATCATTTGGGGCTTGTCAGAAATGCAAAATTCGGGGTCCCAGCCTTAACCTACTGAATCAGAAACTCTGAAGATGGGCCCAGTAATCTGTGTTTAACAAGGTTTCCAGATGATTCTTGTGCATACTAAAGTTTAGCGACAGCAGTCATAGATGGTCCATAAAAATCCCTTCGATACTGTCATTTTCCTGAATTGTGCTCAACAAATGGCACTCACTTGGTATAGATGGCTGATTTCTAAGTAATTTGAAACAGAAATAGGGGCCAAGACAACTGACATTTTATCAACAGTCATTATCTTTCAGATTGTTTTCTCCGTCAGGATCCTGTCTGTATAGGAGACTAGAAAAATCTGTCCTCATTGCTTACTTTTCTGTGCTACTAACAGTTATGAGACCAGTGTTTAGATCCGGGTTAACTAAAGAAGCCTTAAGGGCTGTGATGCTGGTAGTATCCCCAGAGGCCACTCTTCCCATTTCTATTATTTGAGTAAATATTTATCTTTAGCCTGGTAATTCTCTACTTCCCATGGTCTGAGTGTGACACTAAAGAGCAAATCATAAAAGGGAACTCTGAGGGTCTTTGAGAATGCTACTGTTGTCTAGCTACTGATTGCTGGAGTGATATTTATTATTGGCTTCAGTGGTACTGGGCAGTGAGTACAGTGATTGGTTGCAACTGTAGCTCAGTTGTACCACAGGCTGTGTTTCAGTCAGTACCTTTGATCTGTAACATGCCCTGAAATGTGCAGTGGGGAATCCTGTATAATAAAAGCCCAATATGCAAATTGTCCCCTCGATCAGGTGTTCGACCAGGGGGCGGGGCTCTCCAGCCAACCACGAGAAGGGAGGCCCTGGCCAACGGCCTGCAGCCACTAAGGACCCTACCTGTGCATGAATTTCATGCACTGGGCCTCTAATATGATATAAAAACTTATCATATAAAAAGTGTCTTTCTCTTCTAGGGCTTTATCACATGGCAGAGGAAATAAGATATGTGCATAACAATTAAATATGATGCAGATTGAGTGCCCTGAGAGAGGATTTGAGTGTTACAAAGAGTTCAAAGAAGATAGTGATCCCTTTGTGGACGGAGACCAATGAAGGCTTCATGGAGGAAGTGGCATTTCAGCGGAATCTTTGATAGGTAGGAATATGAGTGTGTGGGGAGGGCAGTTCATGTCTGAGCATGAGGAAGAAGCTGGAGCCAAGAACCAGCAGGTGACTGTTTGTATCTCTAGCACCTATTCAGGGACTGACACACAGTAGGTGCTCAATACATATGTGTTCTGTCTGACTCATAGATGGACCATTGGCTGACTAGAAGATTTTGGTTTTTCCTTTCTTTGGAAAAAGACAAAAGAAGAAGATAAAATCTTACAAAATATAAAAATCAACTCAAAGATATACTGATTTCAGATTCATTAAGATGTGAGAGCAAAGTGCTTTTTTGAATCTTAAAGGCAGCTGAAAATGTGAAACTGGAGTTCAAGTTAGAGAACAATACCTTATTGATTTTGGAGATAGCTTTGTGCTGAACAGCTTCCTTCCCCCACCTCACACTAGCCTACAGCTTTCTCTACTCTGCTCCAGAGCCCAGGAGGCAGGCTTGTATGCTCTAGGACAGTGATGGCGAACCTTTTGAGCTCGGCGTGTCAGCATTTTGAAAAACCCTAACTTAACTCTGGTGCCGTGTCACATATAGAAATTTTTTGATATTTGCAACCATAGTAAAACAAAGACTTATAGTTTTGATATTTTATATATTTAAATGCCATTTAACAAAGAAAAATCAACCAAAAAATGAGTTTGCATGTCACCTCTGACACGGGTGTCATCGGTTCTCCATCACTGCTCTAGGACATCAGGCTGGACTTCCTTGCTTTCTGGCTTCCCGGAGAGCTTAGCCAAAGTGAAGACTGGCAAGAGTCTGACGGGAGGCGGGAGGATAAAGTAGATGTATTTATTTCTCCCAGTTCCCTATTTGGGGAGCTGGCTAGGTCACTGCTCAACTGAAGGCCACAACTCCTGGCCACTAGCTCACGAGAAAATGGCTTATAATGACAGGGTGGCGTGTGTGTGAATCTTTATTCCTCAAAGGGCCAGAAACCAGCCCAGTGGTGCTAGGCTGGTTTGAAGTAGAATCCGTTTTACCAGGCACTGCCAGTGAGTCCCACACAGGAGTAGAGTGATCAGAGTGGAGAACCCAAATAGAAAAACACGTTTAAGGAGACTGGAGAGAGTCTCACCCTTTTGAAGTTCACCTAGTGTTTCCCAGCCTTGGCTGAAGGTCTGAGGAACTCCTACCTTGAACTTGGGAGAGCTCAGCAAATCTCCCTAGGGCTGCTGCTCATCGTAGACATAGCTTTTTCTTTCATAAAAGTTGACTCCCTGCTCCTTTCCTGGGTAGGGGGTACCAACGGATAAAACATAAAGGTAAGGGGATTGAACTAAATCATGTGGGGTTGATCACGTCCCACATGAACATTTAAGCCATTGAAGCCATTTGGACATGTGATGGTTACCATTTAAGGCTAACCAGCTGAAAGTAAAGATACATATTTTCTGTAGGGATTTTTGAAATCTATGTATAAGATTTGAGGAACCATTTGCAGCTGTGTAAACTGAGATCCTATATGGAAACTGTTTAGCCCAGAGTCTGGCACAAAAGTCACTCCTACAGGAAGATAAAGTGAGTTCCTGAGCCCTCACCACGTGTCAGCCCCATAGCTTGTCATTTAACTAACCGCAGCCTTACAACTTTCGGATTCTAAGTGCTGAGCCATACTCGGGAGGCGAAGGGTGCTGAGTTCTCTTAGGGAAGGGAGCTCCCAAGGGGCGGGTGTGCCGGGGTCCCAGGGACACCGTGGGGAGGGTGCGCAGGGGCGCGCGTCCAGGGGCGCAGGCGCTCGCGTGCTTCTTGGTCCTCGGTGGTGTGGGCCCTGCTCCCCGCCGCCACTGCTGCGCTGCCGGCTGCCGGACCCGGACCCCACCAGCTCCATGAGGGTCAAGCAAGTTAACTTGCTGATGGCGCTCATCGTGGTCATGCTCTTCAGCTTCTCCTGTTTCTGTATCTACAGGATGACTCAGACCAGTAAGCGGAGGGTGGCTTCTCCCGCCAACTGTCTCGCTTCGGGGCTCCTGGATTGCTGGGTCAGAGAGAAGGGGGTGGGCTGACATAGGGACCTGGCGGGGTCGCCTGCTCTCCTAATAGGGGCTTCACAGATGTAGCCCCCACGCCCTGGTCCTGCCAGCGGTTGAGCTGTAACGGACACCCAGGTCTATCCGCGTGGCTTTGACCGCCACTTGGCACGCGCGTTAACGCATTGGCCTGCAGGGTCTTGGGTAGGTCCAAGGACCTGATCTGTGTCCAGCCGCACCCCTCACCCCCACCCCATTATTTCCAGAAACGCCAATGCCTGACTCCAAGAACTGTCACACAGCCAGCATCTTTCCTCTTTCGCGTTCAGCATTTTTGAGCCACACTTCAGGGGTCCCTCAGTATATTCTGGGAAGCTGAAAAGGATGCGATGGCGGAGAGAGGCATAACCAACAATTTAGGGTGCTGGTTTGGAATCTGACTAACATGGCTCACACTGCCACTTTGAAACACACCAAGGTTTTAATTTATTGTCTGCGGCGTTCCGAATGTAGCAAATAAAAGTGGAGGTTGCCCAGTTAAATTTGAATTTCAGATAAGCAATGAGTAAGTTGTTAGTGTAAAAATTGCATGGGATACATTGATATTAAAACATTATTTATCTGCAATTCAAATTTAACTTTGGTTTCCTGTATTTTATCTTTCAACTCTAGGCCATAGCATAACATTTTAACATTTATACAGTTAAATTTGGAACTGAAGACGTAGGGATTCTGCAAACATATTTATCCAGCCTTCCAAGACTGTCCTTGGGTTGTTTTAGGTTAAATTTTCATTCTTCTTTTGATACTCATTTATGACTCAGGGTGCACACTAAGTAATCTTGGTAGTAGAGTCAAGGATAAAGTTTGAAAGTGGCTTTAGTCCTCTAATTAATGTTTATGTCCTCTAATTAATGCTAAAACTATGTTTTAGTCTCTTAATTAATACTAAATTTTGTCATGTACCCACAATACCAACATTGCATGCCATTTGTTTCAAAGATTAAAAAATGTATATTAATTTATATGATATATACTACTAATCTTTAATCATTTTATACTCTTTCCTTCTTCATTTTCTACAAAGACCATTACCCAAATGTGTCTTTTATTTATTTTGGAACAATAAACAATGAGCAATTTTATTAACAACAAAAAAAATGTCATTACTCATAATTAGAAAGCAAAATGTAAACCTCTTTTGATAGTAATTTTGGAAGACAATTTAGATTGGCAACCTCATAGGACACTTTAATACAATTAACATTCTTTTAATGAAACTGTAGACTTGTTGAGATACATACAACCATTTTGGTGTGTTTTCTAGTTATGACCAGGAAAAACAAGTTTGGTTCCTCCAAGTGTTTATATTCCCATCCTTCATATGTCCAAGTTCAGAAAATGAGATCTTGAGAATACATTACTCTTTTTTTTTTAAATCCTCACCTGAGGATTTATTTATTAATTTTTAGAGAGAGGAAGGGGGAGAAAGAGAGAGTGAGGTGAGAGAGAGAGAAACATCAATGTGCAAGAGAAACATTGATCAGTTGCCTTCTCCCCATCCAAGTGGGGGACCATATATAATCACCAAGGTATCCGACCTGTGGGAATGTACATTTGTGCCTACAACATACCCTGCAGCAGGACTGGCGAGGAGAGAGCTCCCAGGTGTAGTCAGCAGAGTCCAGGATCCAAGGGCTAGTGGGCTCTTCATTATTCCTTCCTCCCTTGGCCTGTGCACCTCGAGGATAATTCCATTTCGACAATTCCATTATACTTAGTTGTTCAAATATATGCTCCTTTCCCACATCCCTTGCAAGCCGGATTGTTACTTAATTTAGAGCAGGAACCTGACTTTATCCATGTTTGTTTACCTATCACAGCACAGTGAGTGGCACATGATACCACTCAGTGGGAGAAAGAATGAATAGCTCAGCATGCTGCTTCTTTCCGGAGGTATTTAGTGAGTGAAATAAGGTAGAAGAGTTAGGTCATAGCCACCTTGTATAGGACCTTGCATACTAAGGCAAGTTCATCTGGATTTTACTCAGCTAGCATTTAGGGAACCGTTTAAAGTCTTTGAGCAGGGTTTCCAGAAGACTAACTGTGGATTGGAGGTGAGAGACCAGTTAAGAGGCAATTATAATAATAGTGCAGCGAGAGGCACTAAAGACCTGAACTCTATAGTGAAGTCAATGATGAGGAAGATGAAACTATTAAAGGTCTATTAACAGTACTTCTTAAATTTTAACATGAATCTCAGTCTCCTGTGAACCATTAAAATACAGCTTCTGACTCAGGAGGCCCTGGGTGAGGCCTGAGATATGTGTATAACAGGCTCGCAGCTGGTATCATTGATCTGTGCTGTCCGGTCTGGTAGCTCCTCTTCAGGTAGCTACTGGGCACTCAAAGTGTAGTGTGTGCAACTGAGGAACTGCATTCTAATCTAATTTTAAGTTAATCTAAATTTACATTTTAAAATGGAAGCAGTGCAAAATCTTTCTCCATTAAGAATTTTTGTTTTGTTTTGTTTTGGTAGGACTACATTTTAGTATAACTGTTAATTTAGCATCTGAATTAAGATGTACTGTAAGTGTAAAATACACACAGGATTTTCAATACCATTTTTATATATATATCCTTTTTTTAGTACAAAACAAAGAATGTAAACTATTTCATTAATTGCTTTTTATGTTGATTACATATTGAGAAAAGTTTTTAGATATTTAGGACTAAGTTAAATATATTATTGATACTTTCACTGGTCTCTTCTTACCCTTTTTTAAAGGCGGCTAGTGGAAAATCTACACTTACAAAGGAGGCTTGCATTTCATTTCTACTGGCCCCTTGCTGTGAGGAGCGGAGGTCGGTGGTCCTCAGGACCTCACCTGGTTCATGGGTGGGAGTCACATTGGCCCATTGCACATGTGGACTGATGTTTCTTTTCACAGTTTTACCACAATTGACTCAAAACATCAAATTATCGTTTATTTCAAACTTTGCAGGAAAGGTAGTTCTATAACAGTCCATCCTCACAAAGTACCTCAGTAATTATGCAACTAATATAAATAACTTAAATAGAATACTGATGAGCTGAATTACCAGGTAAGAATGAACGAGAAGCAGACCCAAGCCTCGAGACTGTGTCCTTTAACATTTCTGTATGGTTGTTTCTGCAAATACTACTTCCTCTAGAGAAAACGCTTTCTTTTCATGTTTACCCAATTGATCCCTCAGGGACTGACTTACCTTGGCCCAGATATGTTGCATCACCTGTGTTATATCAGCTCCAAACACATGATCCCTTTTGTAAAGAGAATATTACCTGGGAACCCCAGTAACAGGGTTATACTGGTAAAACTACGTCCCTGTTTAAAAAAAGTAACATCCACTGTATAGATTTTCAAGATTTATTGGGGTAGTTGCAATTCTTTTGATGAAGCATGGTTCCGTTTTAGAACCTCTTAAATCAATTTCAGTGCTGGCAAGTCCATTCTTTAGATAATGCTCCCTGCTGGATTTCAAAGACTGAATTCTCTGCCCAAGGCTAAGGCTAGGGTGAGCCAAGGCAGGGATGAAGTAAGACTGGGGCTGTATTCTTTCACTACATTGTCTTGCTCAGTTTTATAAGTGCCTCTCAAGATTTTTTGCTCTCAAATCTATAATACCAGCCTAATCTTTCCCTTGAACTTCAAAATCATACAGCCACATGTTTGCCTTGTATTTGGAAGCCTCATAAGCATCACAGTGGCTTTAATGACATTAAATATTCTTTTTCATAGCTGCATGGTAGTCAATTGATAAAGAAATAAAGAGTAGTCCACCCAAAAATGATTATTAGACATTTGTCAAAGCACTTTTTAAAATGTGCTTTGCCATGTGGTTTGCATGCATTATTGAATTGCATCTTCACAACAACTCTGAGGCAGGGATTCTTATATATCCATTTACACGTGAAGAACAGGCTAGCAAAAATTAAACAGCTTGCTCAAGCCGCACAAATATTAAGTAGCAAAACAGAGATTTCATCATATGTGATTTAAGAGCCATCAGACTATTAAAAAGATATTCTGTAATTTATTTAGCGTATTTCCATTGTTAGGTACTTAGGTTGTTTCTGATTTTCTTACAATGATAAGTAATGCTGCCCATGTTGAACATCCTTAGAGCCAAATCTGCACACATTCCTGGTCATTTTCTTTAGATAAATTCATAGAAGTGAATTTTCTGCCTCAATTTGTTTTTTCCTCTAATTACAAATCTGATACATGCACCTTCCAGATAGTACTGTGTTTAACATTTCATTCTTTTTTTTCAGTCTTTTATGTACATATATATACCATATGTATATAGCACTATATATACACTTATACAAACACTTAATGCTAGATATACAGTTTAGCTATAGAGAAGCATAAATTTTACATTTTTGTTATATATTATGAAAATTGTATGATACCATTGGTACATATATAAACATATACATATGTGTTTTCTTTGCAGGTAATCAATTAATTAATTGTAGAAACCATATTTTGGAGTTTAAGGAAAATTTTCTACATTTAAAAAACAAAACTGAAAGAAATCGCCGAGAGCTGATGGAAGCCTTGAGTAAAATGAAGTATGACAATAGACAGCGTGCAGATGTACCCGTAAAGTTGGGTTTGTGTTACTTTTGTTTTTGTGCATGGTGGTTTGTTTGTTTTATTTTTTCATGTTTTGTACATTTTATGCTTCCTGATTTTAGGACATTTCTCCCCAATAAATGGAATTAAATCAGTTCTTGCTCTTTTTTAAAAAAATATATTTTATTGATTTTTTACAGAGAAGAAGGGAGAGGGATAGAGAGTTAGAAACAACAATGAGAGAGATCGATCAGCTGCCTCCTGCATGCCCGCCAGTGGAGATGTGCCTGCAACCAAGGTACATGCCCTTGACCGGAATCAAATCCGGGACCCTTGAGTCCGCAGGCCGATGCTCTATCCACTGAGCCAAACCGGTTTGGCAGTTCTTGCTCTTTTATTGTCAGACATGGGAAAATCAGGTAAGAGACATCACTGCCTCTCACCTCTATCTGGAAGGGGGTCTTTCTGAGTTTTCGATCTCTGTGAATGTACCATGATGCACCCAGTAGACGCAGCCAGAAATCTGAGCATCATCTCTGACTTCTGCCTCTCCCTCCTGCAAACTTACTTCCATGTCAGTCAGTGAGCAACCCCATTGATTCATAATCCCACATACCTCACAAATCTGTCCGTATTTTTCCATCACCGTCTCTACGATCCTAGTCAGGCCACCTTTGTGCTTCATCTAAATGTCTGCTAACATACTCCTATTTTTCCTGTCTCTGTAGTCTTGTCCCCACCTACCTATCCTCACTGCAGCCAACGTGAAGACTGCACTGTCTTGTATATCAACCTTCAGTGGTTCCCCTTTTCTTCAGGATATAAAGTCCTGCCACATGCCTCCCCCTGTGTAGTCAAGTACTCCCCTCTCCCCTCACCCCGCCCCACTCTTAATGCCTGGAAACCACTGCTCAGTTTTCTGTTCCTGTATTTTTCCATTTTCCCCGAATGCCATGCAGATGGAATCACACAGGTAACCCTTTGAGACTGGTTTCTTTCACTGAGTGTAGATTCATCCAAATGTCATGTGACCATTTGTTTGCTGCTTTGTTATTGCTGAGTAGCATTCCATTGTATGGATGCACAATGGATAGTTTGTTTCACCAGCTGAGGGGCGTTTGGGTTGGTTTCAGGTTTTGGGTGATTACAGATGCCTATTGCTATAAGCACTCATGGACAGGTGTTTTGTTTGAATTTTCATTTCTTTAGGATAAATATCTAGAATTTGTGGGCATATGGTAAGTATACGAGTAACTTTGTAAGAAACTGCCAAACTGTTTTCCATTCAGCATTCCCTGCAGCAATTGTATGAGGGTTCCAGTTCCTCCCATTTTTTATGGCCATTCTAATGTTGTGGCATTTCATAGTTTTAAGTTGCATTTCTGTCTAGTGTGATGTTGAACATTTTTATGTGCTTATTTTCCTTCCGTCTTCTTTGTAATATGTCTGATCAAATCTTTTGCACATTAAAAAAATTGGGTGGTTTGTTTTCTTGTTGAGTTTTGAGAGTTTTTTAAAAAAATATATTTTTATTGATTTTATAGAGGAAGGAAGAGGGAGAGAGAGATAGAAATATCAATGATGAGAGAGAATCATTGATTGGCTGACTCCTGCACGCCCCCAACTGGGGATCGAGCCTGCAACTTGGGCATGTGCCTTGACCGGAATCAAACCTGGGACCTTTCAGTCTGTAGTCCAATGCTCTATCCACTGAGCCAAACCAGCTAGGGCTGAGAGGTTTTTAAAAAATATATTTTATTGATTTTTTTACAGAGAGGAAGGGAGAGGGATAGAGAGTCAGAAACATTGATGAGAGAGAAACATCGATGAGCTGCCTCATGCACACTCCCCACTGGGGACATCCCTGCAACCAAGGTATATGCCCTTGACTGGAATCAAACCTGGGACCCTTTCAGTCTACAGGCTGACGCTCTATCCACCGAGCCAAACCGGTTAGGCGAGAGGTTTTTTTTAATGTATCCTGGATACATATCAAATGAATATGTGATTTAGAAATATTTTCTCCCAGTCTGTGGCTTGTCTTTTCATTCTCCTAATGTGTCATTCAGAAAGCAACCATTTTCAATTTAGATGAAATCCAATTTGTCAATTTTTTTATATATTATGCATTTGATGTATCTAAGAACTCTTTAAGAGTCATGGGGATTTTCTTTTATGTTTTTTATTTTATTTTATAGTTTCAGATTTTACATTTTAGGTCTATAAAACCTTAGAGTTTATTTTTATAAGTGGTGTGAAGAATAGGTTAAGGTTCAGTCTTTTTTCTGTGGATGTCCAAGTGTCCTGGCACCATTTGTCAAAAAGGTGCCCATTCTGCATTGAATTGCCTTCATATCTTTAAAAAAGTCAATCTACCATATTTGTGTGGGTCTCTTTCTGGATTCTCTGTTATGTTCCATTGCTATATATATCTATTTTTTTCTGCAATATCACACTGCCTTGATTAACATATAGATTATGAATTAAAATTAGGTAGTGTGAGCCCTCCAGCTTTGTTCTTCTTTTTCAGAATTGTAGAGGCAAATTCAAATGAACGGTGTGAATGGAGTCATTAAATATTGAGGGGGCTATAAAATAAAATTATAAGGATACAAACTTTAATGATGCAATATTAGTCAAAGTAGCAAAACATATGATATGTGCTTTGGAAATAGTTTCAGTTGTACTTCTTTATAGTATGTTTCAGTTATACTTCCTTCTTTGAAACTGACAGTTCTATGAGCTTGTGGTCGTTGTAGCTCATAGTGATAGATTTAACTTAAATACAGGAAGCCCTCACTTAACATCATCTATAGGTTCTGCAACTGTAAGGTAAATGATATCTAAGGAAACCATGAACTCAGAAGCCCTATTTTTCCCTCTTTCAGGTAAGAAGGAAGTGACTACATTGGATAAGAATGAAACAGTGTCTAACACATTTGAAGTCTTAAAGTTCTTTCTCCCTCATCTGAGGAAAGTAGGCAGAGTTTATCCTGATGTAATCATCAGCAAAAAGAAAGAAGGCGGTAAGAAAATTAGAACAGGAAAATCAAATACAGATATTCTGATCTTTGTGTACATGCCTTTAAGTTTTAAAATGTAATCCATTAAAATGATGCTCAATTTGATACTTAGATCACCAGCCTATCTGGCATTAATTTGAATAACCAGAAATCAGTATATCGTCTGGCAGAAAAAAATAGGTTAATAAGTATTTGGAGACTTGAATTTAAATTCAGCTTTGATACAGATGCTTTGAATATAACTCAAGTAAGATGTTAAGTATCTGCTCAGTACTTGGTAACTCTTTTTCTTCCTTGTTTTTGATAAATCTATTTTCATCTGATTATCTCCACATTCTCCATCTTTATGGGGACCGAGGTCTGAAAGGCTTTATAGCAGTGACCTGTGAGCTAAACCTTGAAGATTGAGTTCAAGCTCACCAGATACAGAAGAGGAGAAAAGGGACGTTAGACCAACCCTCAGAAACTTGCCTTTCTCACAAACCTCATTCATTCCAATGAGTGTGTCCCTCTGTGCCAGGGGTCAGCAAACCACAGCCCCCAGGCTGACCCTGCCTATTTTAAGAATGGTTTTGCTGGACCATAGGCATGTTCATTGCTTACATGCTGTCTGCTGCTTTGAGCATAGAATCTTGGTATCTATTTAGGATGGCATGGGTGTGTTCTGACAGTGCTTCGGCCATTATTGGACAATAAAAGTCACTTAGAGACATGGATTTATCCCGTCAAGTCACTTGGAAATTACTTCATGCACTGTTTTCAAAGATGACATTATTTCATAGTATTTTTCCTATTTGGAGTTCTAATGTCTCCTTAGGAAGAAGAGTAGAGAACCAGCCAATGCCTTTCGTACCCAGTTAGATGACACTATAATAAATGGAGAGTGAATAGTTTTCTTTTCCACTATACTGAAATTGTCTTGTCGTCTATTTAATGCATTTCCTAACCATCCACTACAAATTGGAATTTCCTTAACACATTAAGCGCCCAGTCAGTCACCCGTGACTGACACTATACTTTCCATTCAGAAGACAAAACAGGCTGGGCGCTTAACATGTTAAGCAGAAAATGAAATCCTATATAATAAAAGCCTAATATGCTAAGTGTCCAGTCATCCAGTTGTCTGTTCAACCAAAGTGTAATATGCTAATGATATGCTAAGGCCACTCAACTGCTCGCTATGACATGCACTGACCACCAGGGGGCAGACGCTCCGACCAGTAGGTTAGCTTGCTGCTGGGGTCCAGCCAATTGGGACTGAGCGAGATGGGCCATACATGCCCTGAGCCCTCCCGCGGCCCCTCCCCGGCTGGCTAACCTCCTGCGTCCCTCCCGGGCTCTGATCATGCACCGGTAGGGTCCCTTGGCCTGGCCTGCACCCCCTCACAATCCGGGACCCTTGTGGGGGATGTCAGAGAGCCGGTTTCAGCCTGATCCCACAGGCCAGGTCGAGGGACCTCACTGGTGCACGAATTTGTGCACCAGGCCTCTAGTATAATATAAAAACTAACAGCTTTTGGTTGGGATTACTTCTGTAATACAATTTCAAGCACTATTTTTATGACCACACAATTAACCCAAATGTACAAGTAAGCATAGATATTAATGCTAAATTATATTTTTCTCTGTGGTTTGAAATGGTGATGCCATCCTTGGGTGTCTGCAGTGTCTTTTGCACTGGGCATTTCCACTGTTAAGAGACGAAATTATAGTTACCTGAAGCAAACGCTGACCTCGCTTGTTTCCAGGATGACGCTTTCGGAGGAGAAGGACTCGGTAGTGATCGTCTCTATTGCAGATGTACGTATGAAGGCCAACCAGCTCTCCTTGCCCCCAGCCCACAGTCTCCATGCTAATCACTGTATCATTTCAAAATATCCCCTCAAATTTCAAAAAGCAATTCACAGATGCCTTTTTTAGGTAGCAGACAATGTATTTGATACTTTTTTTGACATTACCAAGAAAGAAATATGTCAATCTAAAAAGTTTATTTAAATATCACATTTCCATGTGGAGAAATAAGATTATATTATTAAATATGTAACTAGGCCTGGCCGGCTTGGCTCAGTGCTTGAGCATCAACCTATGAACCAGGAGGTCATGGTTTGATTCCCAGTCAGGGCACATGCCTAGGATGTGGGCTCGATACCCAGTGTGGGGTGTGCAGGAGATAGCCAATCAATGATTCTCTCTGTTGATGTTTCATCTCTCTTTCCCTCCCCCCTCTCCCTTCCTCTCTGAAATCAATAAAAATACTAAAAAAATGTAACTAGGGGCCTTACATACTATATGGTACAGAATTGTATTTACAAACAGAACATTAAAAGTGATGCTATAGTAATAAAACCTGCCCAGTAAGAGGTTGGTATAGGAATCAAGAGATAATTTATGTTAAATAATAACTACGACTAATTGGGGGACTCCTTCCTATATCTGAAGGATTGTAGACAATTTTTATATACATTATTTATAACCTGCTTTACATCTCTGTAAAGGAGGTAGTACTATCCTGATTGTACAGAGTTTATGAAAGTAATTTGCCTAATTATTTTTTTTAATTAAATCTTTATTGTTCAGATTATTACATTTGTTCCTCTTTTCCCCCCCCCATAACTCCCCTCCTCCCAGTTCCCGCCCCACCCTCCGCCCTCACTCCCCACCCACTGTCCTCATCCATAGGTGCACGATTTTTGTCCAGTCTCTTCCCGCATCTCCCACATCCCTTTCCCCACCAAGAATAGTCAGTCCATTCCCTTTCTATGTCCCTGATTCTACTATAATCACCAGTTCATTCTGTTCATCAGATTATTTATTCACTTGATTCTTAGATTCACTTGTTGATAGATGCATATTTGTTGTTCATAATTTGTATCTTTACCTTTTTCTTCCTCTTCCTCTTCTTAAAGGATACCTTTCAGCATTTCATGTAATCCTGGTTTGGTGGTGATGAACTCCTTTAGCTTTTCCTTATCTGTGAAGCTCTTTATCTGACCTTCAATTCTGAATGATAGCTTTGCTGGATAAAGTAATCTTGGTTGTAGGTTCTTGGTATTCATCACTTTGAATATTTCTTGCCACTCCCTTCTGGCCTGCAAAGTTTCTGTTGAGAAATCAGCTGACAGTCGTATGGGTATTCCCTTGTAGGTAACTGAGTTTCTTTCTCTTGCTGTTTTTAAGATTCTCTCTTTGTCTTTTGCTCTTGGCATTTTAATGATGATGTGTCTTGGTGTGGTCCTCTTTGGATTCCTTTTGTTTGGGGTTCTCCGCGCTTCTTGGACCTGTAAGTCCATTTCTTTCACCAGGTGGGGGAAGTTTTCTGTCATTATTTCTTCAAATAGGTTTTCAATATCTTGCTCTCTCTCATCTTCTGGCACGCCTATAATTCGGATGTTGGTACGCTTGAAGCTGTCCCAGAGGCTCCTTACACTATCCTCGCATTTTTGGATTCTTTTTTCATTTTGCTTTTCCGGTTGGGTGTTTTTTGCTTCCTCGCATTTCAAATCATTGACTTGATTCTTGCGCTCCTCTGGTCTGCTGTCGGGAGTCTGTATAATATTCGTTATTTCAGTCCGTGTATGCTTAATTTCTAGTTGGTTCCCCATCATAACATCGAGGGTCTCATTAGTTTTCTTGTAGATCTCATTAAGTTTATCGGCGGCTTCTAAACAGTTCTTGAGAGACCTTAAAAGTGTGGTTCTGAACTCTATATCTTCCATTGACAATTTTGTCCTGTTTCTTTGTCTCCCCATTTTGTTATGCTTCCTTGGTGCACCCCCTAGTGGTCTTTGTGCGCAGTCTTGTAGTTAAGCCTTGATTGTAGCTAATACCAGGGAGGGTTTGACCTCCAGGCCAAGTGGCTGTGGGAATCAGCTGTGTCTGCAGTGAGAGAACTTCTGTCCTCTAGGGAGGTGCTAATCTAGCCTTTGCCTGAGGCTATCCGGCAAATGCCTCTGTGCAGGGCTTGGGCGGGGCGGGTCGCACAGGATCAACAGGGTGGGCCGGAGAGAGCAGTTATGGCGGCTCTCAGTCCTGTCCCCCGGGGCTCTGCCTCTCTGAGTCCCAGTACCCGCTGCAAAGCTCGGAGAGAAAGCTGCACTCGCTCTGACCGAAGCCAGACAGTCCCGCTTCTCCCGTTTGAGTCTGGGTCCCTAAAGACTCGCCCGTATCTGGAGTTCAGAGTCTGCGACTCCCTCCCGATTGAAAACACCAACCGCGCCCTCCGCCGCCAGCCCGCTCTGCGCACTCCGCACCTCAGAATTTGACTTCAGCACTGCGCCTCCTCTGAGTGTCCGTATGCGTTTCTCTTTCCTCCTAGTTGTAGGACTTCCACTCAGCCAGCGTTCCTGTGGTTCTGGGTGATGTCTGTTCCGTCTTTTAGTTTCACTTTTGAAGGAGTTGTTCAAGGCAGCAAACTCCAGCGTTAACCTATGCCGCCATCTTGGTTCTCCAGTAATTTGCCTAATTATTAATAGAGCAGATTCATCTCTCTAATGGCCCCAAAGTTTTCTATCTTGTAGTGCTATATAAGTACTATATAAATGTTAACACGATAAGGCCTTTGGGAGGGGAATTTGGCAACATGTATCAGATTTAAAATGTGTATATTCTTTGTCTCAGAAATCTCAATTCTGGGAAGTTATCCTAAGGAGATAACGAGGCAAGAATTTCAAAATGATAAAATATGACACACACAGTACTGTAGTTGAGAACACAGACTCTCGATCTAGATTGCCAGCTTCAAATGCCAGCTTCTCCACTTCCTGGCTGGTGAACTTGAACTAGTTACTTCTCTGTGCTTCATTTTTCTTATCTGTAAAATAGTGATGATAATATTACCTTAGTCACACATAATTGTTTTGGCAATTAAATTAGCTAAAATATTTAAAGTATTTCAAGTGCTGTGTGGCATTTGTAGTAAGTGTTCAGTAAGTAATTATTTCAAGGATTATTAGTGCAAAAACACCAAAATATTGAAAACAATCAAAATGTCAATAAGCAACTGATTGAATATTCATGTCTGCACTGCAGTGATCTGTAACCATTGAAAGAATGAATATCATATTCACTGACATAAAAACCATGTCTAAATCATATTGTTGAGTAAAAACAGTTGTAAAGCATCCTGTTTAACATACCATCTGTGCAAACTGTGACAGAAAGAAGGAAGATAATACAGATTGATGAAATGTATAAAGAAAAAAAGAATGAGCAAATCTTAGAATGATATAAATAATGGTTTACATTTAAAAATTAGTAGTGGTATTCAAAAACTATATATAAATATCAGTTTATATTTACATATAAGTATAAAATATAATAATGGTTATCTCTGGATGTTGGGAGTTGTTGTCCTTTATACTTTTCTCTATTATTTGCATTTTCTATAATAAATGTGTCTTTGAAGGCAGAAAAACTCTAAACAAAACAAGCAACAAAAAAACTATTGGGAAAATATAAATAAAATATTAAATAATCTTTCTCTCCAAATTTAATTTAATATTGGAAGCATATACTTAATCTCTGAAGTGTTTTGTCACTTTTTTTGTGTTACATATTACAAGCTTTGTTCATTTGCTGCTGACACAATGTATATCTGCCTAAAATATATTGACCAATAAAATATAGGGGACAAATTTTAAAATAGAATATATAATGCTTAAAAAGTACAACTTCAGCACTACGTTTAAAGTAGAATATGTTTCAGTGGGTAACAATAACTAGAGATTCAATTTATGGCTGTCTTAAGAAGCTTAAGTACTATAATAGAGTTATTTGCATCATGACATATATTTTTAACAAACAACGTAACTATATACATTCAGAATTGCCTTTTAGAGAATTCAGATTTGACAATAGAATGGTCATTATTCAAAATATTTTCAGAATTTTATATTAGGAATGCTTGTAGGCCCTGTGGCTACATCTTGTAAATGCCATTGGTTATGTAAAAAAAAAAAAAAAAAATCATCTGAGGGAATAAACCACCAAAAGCTATTTACAAATGAGTCTGTCATCTAATCTAAGCACAATACTCAATAAAGAATAGGTACACAAAGTTTGTCAATGGAAGAAAATTTGAGAGTTAAGCTGAATAATACTGTCTGGAAAAAAGGGAAATAATTTCAAAGTAAGCTTACTGTCATATAATACTCATGAAATGAAGATATCTTCAAAAAAGAGCAATTCTTTGAAATAAGCCATCTGACATTTAGGGCAAAACTGTCTTAGATGCATAGCTTTTGTATGCCACAAATTTTTAAGTGTAAATAACATGTAGTGATATTTCATATTGTGACAAAAGGAGAATGACATATTTTCATATTCAAGTCAGATATTTTAGTCATATGGATATTTTAAATTCTTTTATAGAAAGTGAAAACACTAGAGATGATTAGGAAATAATGACATTCCACACATAAACTAGGTTTACATGTAGCAAACGTGTTAATAGAAGTATGGGGCATGCTTAGTTTCATTAAAATATTTTTCTCATTTTTAGAGTAATGAAGAGTATTCAAAATCTGTTGTTGACATGATTACAAAAAAGTAAGTACTGTTGGATAAATTTTTAACTGGCTGTTCTTTCATTTTTCTATCCTGTTTTTTCTGTCCAATCATTTTATTAGTGATCATATTCATTTTAATATGTATCTGTGTCCTATATTTCTATCTCAGGTGTGATGAAGTATAGGTTATCAATTTCCACAATTGTGTAGGTTATCTACCTATTAAATTCCATGTTTTTCATGTTATTATTATAATAATATCTATCCTCCATGAAACCTATTGTCTCTGTGAGAAGCCTACTGGCTTAATTTTAAAACATTCCTGTGTTTTTTTACTGTATGAAGCTACTTTCACCGCTCCTGCTTACAGTCTCCTGCTGTATGCAGCCCAGGAGATGAAAACACTGATGAACGAATATGAAACTACCAAGCAAGATGTGGTAGAATGGAACCAGCCTTCCAAATCTCTATGTTCCCGTGGGCGATAAAACTGGCAAAAACCAAATCACATGAGGCTACTGTTATTGCGGTGGTTGGGGAGGGCAATATGCAAACATGTAGAGTAGAGAGTATTTTATGTTGCCCGAAAATATCAAGAACCACTTTCTTGAGAAGGTAACAACTGAGCTAAGTCTAAGGGTGTAGTAGATATTCTTCAGGCAGACAAAGGGAGGAAGGGAATGCCTGGCAAATAGAATTGCCTGGGCGGCAGAAAGGCCCAAAAGGGAGCATGTAGATTTTTGGAAATATAAATACATCCTGGAACGTGCATTTTGTGTATTTTAATTTTTTGGTGTCTCTCTCTCTAATTTATAAAAGAAATACTTTGGTTAAAGAGTATTAGCTTTATGATATTGATATGTATCAACCTGTGAAATCATTCAAATAAAAATATTATGTGGCCACGTATAAGGAAATTCCTTGTAAGTATTTGTTATTTTGATATATCAAATATTCAATTACAAACCTCCATTTACTTCTATTGATAGATTCAAAAGGCAAGTGAAGTCTGGATCCTTAGAGGTCATTTCAATACCTGCCTTTTTTTATCCAGACACGTTACATGCCATGCAATCAGCTGAGGACTCCCAAAAACTAGAGAGGTATGAAATTTAGAAAATTGTAGCCTTAAAAAACTAACTTCATTTGATGAAATGTTGGAATCAGCATCTAATAGAACCTATTTCAAACACAGCCAGCTCCTATTGACTTGCAAGAGCTATGTGGTTCACTTCCCAACTCTGTATTCAGTGACATCAGTTGGTAACATGAAATCAGGAGCATTTACACCACAGAAATGGGCAAAAGCTACAAATCAGGGCTGACCCTCTGTCCCACACAGAGAGACAGTTGTTAAACACCACCAGCACACCACTGATACTCTATATTCAGTAATTAGCAAAAGCATAATGAAGGGGAAAAAGGCTTAGGGTTATATATCATTACACCTGGATTCTAGATCATCCTAGGCTGGTAATTTTCTTAGCTTCCTCAACTTTCTAGTGTGTATAATAAAATCTGCATTACCTGTTCAGAATGATCATTGTAATTTATGATAGGATTTATGCAAGAATTTTGAAAAATTATATATATATATATATATATGAAGGTATATTATTGTTTGGTTGTAAATGTGGTAGCTATTACAAGAAATATAATAATTTGGTTCCTCAAAACTTAGTAGAGCAAAAGACATGTCAGAATTCAGAAAGAGGTCTTATCCCAATAAACTCATTAGCTCTGCTTTGTTTTAAAATAATAAATGGCATGTCAAAATCTAGAAATATTTTAAGGGTTTTTGTTTTGCTTTTTTCTAATTTTATTTTATTTTTCAATTCTTTATTGTTTAAAGTATTACATATGTCTCCTTTTCCCCCCATTGACCTCTCCCGGGTCGTTCTTACTCCCCCAGCACATGCCCTCATCCCCCTACTGTCTGTGTCCATGGGGTATGCTTATATGCATGCATACCAGTCCTTTGGTTGATCTCTCACCCCCCGCCCCCCATCCCTCTCCCCACCTTCCCTCTGAGGTTAGGTGGTCTGTTCAGTGCTTCCATGTTTCTGGACCTATTTTAGTTAATCAGTTTATGTTGTTCATTATATTCCACAAATGAGTGAGATCATGTGATATTTATCTTTCTCTGACTGGCTTATTTCACTTAGCATAATGCTCTCCAGATCCATCCATGCTGTTGCAAATGGTAAGAGTTCCTTCTTTTTTACAGCAGCGTAGTATTCCATTGTGTAGATGTACCACAGTTTTTTAATCCACTCATCTGCTGATGGGCACTTAGGTTGTTGTTTTGCTTTTTAATTAATGGCCCACAGTATGCCCAGTTTTTAGAGTCATAATGCTGGGAGTCACTCTAAATCCTTGTTTTTCCTTCTGCCCTTTATGTCTCTATCATCATTTCTCTTCTTTAATTTCTTTCCACATCATTCCTCTCATCCCCATTTCTCTGTCTTGGACTTAGTTCAGGCCATTACAGATCTATTTGCTTTCCCTAACCCCAGTCTAGCCTAGCCTTTCCTCCAGTTCATTTTCCGCACTGTAGGCAGAAGAATCTTTTCATATGAGATCAAGTACAAAGTTTCCTGCATGTCATGAAAGATCCTTCATGATTTGACCTCTGCCAACCTTCCCATCATTAGCTTCTCTCCATCAGTTCTCTGTGCCCTCAATCTAAGGGGCTGCTGTTTCACACATCCCGTAGCTTTGCAATACTGTCCTCTACCCTGAGCGCCCTGCAACCTTCTGCTTGACCCTCCCCATCTTATTGTAAATCATCATGGTCAGCATCCCTATATAGCTCTTATATAATTGTTCTAATTGTATTCTTTTTCTATATTTCTTGCTAGATTATGGGACCTAGAAGGGCAAGAACTGCATTGTGTATTGCTCTTTGTACCTTTGAGATCTGGCTTAGTATCCAAGCTTAGTATTACATTAGAATAAAGTTTCTTTATACTTTCATTTGAGCAAGACCGAAGAAAGAATATTAACTTTATTATAATAGGTCAAAATTGAACAAACCTAAATGTAAAATAAATAGATTATGCTTATCCTAGTTTAGCAATGGTAGACACTACCCACTGAATAAAAATGGGAAACTTTTGAGTATAACTTTTTAGCATAACATCTTCAATTTTATTCCATACAGATAGTGCTCTATATTAGCAAAGAGAAGTTTATGTTTTTAATTTCTAAAGTGTATCTATAAGCAAAAATTAAATAATGATAAATATTAACAGATTTTATTACTTATCTTTAGTTGGCGAATCAAACAAGTTTTGGATTTTTGTTTTTTGATGCTGTATGCCCAACCCAAGGCCATGTATTATCTACAGGTATGACCTTGGTATAAATATAAAGTGGAAGTTCTCCCTCTCTCTTTTGATTCCTTCCTTCTTCATTGTATTCCTCTACCTTCCTTTATACTCAGAAAATAGAAAATACTTACTATATTAAAATACCATAAGGAAGCTTAAAATTGATTCTATATTAGCCTTCTTTCTGGGGTCACTATTAACAGAAGAAAATATAGTTACCTGAAGCAAAATGAAAACGATTTAGAAAAAAAAAGACATTGTACTGCCTACATTTGTCTGCCTACAAGTTTATTGGATTAAATAAACATAATTTGAGTACTTATTATATATTGGACATTATATATGCTTATCCCTGCTACCCTACATAGATTCAGATTTTATGGGTAATACTAGAGGCCCAGTGCACGGATTCGTGCACTGGTGGGGTCCCTCGGCCTGGCCTGTGGGGATCAGCCAAAACCGGCTCTCCAATACCCCCCGAGGGGTCCTGGATTGTGAGAGGGCTCAGGCCAGGCCAAGGGACACCACTGGTGCATGACTGGGGCCGGGAAGGGACCACGGAGGGCTCAAGGGTGTGTCCAGCCCATCTCACCCAGTCCTGATTGGTTGGACCCCAGCAGCAAGCTAACCTACTGGTTGGAGCATCTGCCCCCTGGTGGTCAGTGTATGTCATAGTGACTGGTCGAACGGTTGAACGGTCGGACACTTAACATATTGGGCTTTTATTTTTTTTTATTTTTATTTTTTTTTATTGCTTAAAGTATTACAAAGGGTATTACATATGTGTCCATTTTATCCCCCCGCCCTAGACAGTCCCCTAGCCTCCCCTATCCCCCAATGTCTTATGTCCACTGGTTATGCTTCTATGCATGCATACAAGTCCTTTAGTTGATCTCTTACCCCCCTACCTCCTGCCCCGCAACCCTCCCCGGCCTTCCTGCTGCAGTTTGACAATCTGTTTGAGGCAGCTCTGCCTCTGTATCTATTATTGTTCAAAAGTTTATAATGGTCTCTATTATCCATGAATGAGTGAGATCATGTGGTATTTTTCCTTCATTGACTGGCTTATTTCACTTAGCATAATGCTCTCCAGTTCCATCCATGACGTTGCAAATGGTAAGAGTTCCTTCCTTTTTAGAGCAGCATAGTATTCCATCGTGTAGATGTACCACAGTTTTCTAATCCATTCATCTACTGATGGGCACTTAGGCTGTTTCCAGATCTTAGCTATGGTGAATTGTGCTGCTATGAACATAGGGGTGCATATATCCTTTCTGATTGGTGTTTCTGGTTTCTTGGGATATATTCCTAGAAGTGGGATCACAGGGTCAAATGGGAGTTCCATTTGTAGTTTTTTCAGGAAACTCCATACTGTCTTCCATAGTGGCTGCACCAGTCTGCATTCCCACCAGCAGTGCACAAGTGTTCCTTTTTCTCCACATCCTCTCCAGCACTTGTCGTTTGTTGATTTGTTGATGATAGCCAGTCTGACAGGTGTGAGATGGTACCTCATTGTTGTTTTGATTTGCATCTCTCGGATGATTAGTGACTTTGAGCATGTTTTCATATGTCTCTTGGCTTTCTGAATGTCCTCTTTTGAAAGGTGTCTATTTAGGTCCTTTGCCCATTTTTTGATTGGATTGTTTATCTTCCTTTTGTTAAGTTGTATGAGTTCCCTATAAATTTTGGAGATTAGGCCCTTATCAGATATGACATTGGCAAATATGTTTTCCCACACAGTGGGTTTTCTCGTTGTTTTGTTCATGGTTTCTTTTGCTGTGCAGAAGCTTTTTATTTTGATGTAGTCCCATTTGTTCATTTTCTCTTTCGTTTCAAGTGCCCTAGGAGCTGTATCAGTGAAGAAATTGCTTCGGCATATGTCTGAGATTTTGTTGCCTTTGGATTCTTCTAGAATTTTTATAGTTTCCTGTCGTACATTTAAGTCCTTTATCCATTTTGAGTTTATTTTTGTGTATGGTGTAAGTTGGTGGTCTAGTTTCATTTTCTTGCATATATCTGTCCAATTTTCCCAGCAACATTTATTGAAGAGACTATCTTGGCTCCATTGTATGTTCTTGCCTCCTTTGTCAAATATTAATTGAGCATATTGGTTTTGGCCGATTTCTGGGCTCTCTATTCTATTCCATTGATCTATATGCCTATTCTTGTGCCAGTACCAGGCAGTTTTGAGAACAGTGGCTTTGTAATACATCTTGATATCTGGTATTGAGATCCCACCTACTTTGGTCTTTTTCAGGATTGCTGCAGCTATTCGAGGTCTTTTTTTATTCCAGATGAATTTTTGGAGAGTTCGTTCTAGATCTCTGAAGTATGCCATTGGTATTTTAATGGGAAGTGCGTTGAATTTATAGATTGCTTTGGGTAGTATGGACATTTTAATGATGTTGATTCTACCAATCCATGAACACGGTATGTTCTTCCATGTGTTTATGTCTTCCTCTATATCATTTTTCAACGTCCTGTAGTTTTCTGAGTAGAGGTCTTTTACCTCTTTAGTTAAGTTTATTCCTAGGTAGCTTAATTTTTTTGGTGCGATGGTAAACGGGATTGTTTTTATAATCTCTCTTTCTGAAAGTTCACTATTGGTGTATAGAAATGCCTCGGATTTCTTGGGGTTAATTTTGTATCCTGCTACATTGCCAAATTCATGTATTAAGTCCAGTAGCTTTTTGATGGAGTCTCTAGGGTTTTGTATGTATAATATCATGTCGTCTGCAAATAAGGACAGTTTTACTTCCTCTTTTCCAATTTGGATGCCTTTTATTTCTTCTTCTTGCCGAATTGCAATGGCTAACACTTCCAGTACTATGTTGAACAGGAGTGGTGAGAGGGGGCATCCCTGTCTTGTTCCTGTTCTTAGGGGAAATGGTGTTAGTTTTTGTCCATTGAGTATGATGTTGGCTGTGGGCCTGTCATATATGGCTTTTATTATGTTGAGGTATGATCCTTCTACTCCCACCTTGCTGAGAGCTTTTATCAAAAATGGGTGTTGAATTTTGTCAAATGCTTTTTCTGCATCAATTGATATGACCATGTGGTTTTTTTCTTTCAATTTGTTTATGTGATGTATCACGTTTATTGATTTGCGGATATTGTACCATCCTTGCATCCCTGGGATAAATCCTACTTGGTCATGGTGTATGATCTTTCTGATGTACTGCTGGATCCGATTTGCTAAGATTTTGTTGAGGATTTTGGCATCTATGTTCATGAGGGATATTGGCCTGTAATTCTCTTTCATTGTGTTGTCTTTACCTGGTTTTGGTATTAGGGTGATGCTGGCTTCATAGAATGAGCTTGGAAGTGTTCCTTCCTCTTGAATTTTTTGTAGTAGTCTGAGGAGGATAGGTTTTAGTTCTTCCTTGAATGTTTGGTAAAACTCCCCTGTGAAGCCGTCTGGTCCTGGGCTTTTGTTTGCTGGAAGCTTTTTGATGACTGCTTCAATTTCTTCCATAGTTATTGGCCTGTTGAGATTTTTAGATTCTTCCTGATTGAGTTTTGGAATGTTGTATTTTTCTAGGAATTTGTCCATTTCCTCCAGGTTGTCTAGTTTGTTGGAGTAGAGCTGTCGATAGTATTTTTTAACAATCATTTGTATTTCTGTGGGGTCTGTTGTTATTTCGCCTCTATCGTTTCTGATTTTGTTTATTTGGGTCCTCTCTCTTTGCTTCTTGGTGAGTCTGGCTAGAGGTTTGTCAATCTTGTTTATCCTTTCAAAGAACCAGCTCTTGGTTTCATTGATTTTCTGTATTGTTTTTTTGGTCTCTATGTCATTTATTTCTGCTCTAATCTTTATTATCTCCTTCCTTCTGCTCACTCTGGGGTTTTCTTGTTGCTCTCTTTCTAATTCCTTGAGTTGTAGAGTTAGATGATTTACTACCATTTTTTCTTGTTTTTTGAGATAGGCCTGTAGAGCTATAAACTTCCCTCTCAGGACTGCTTTCATTGTGTCCCATAGGTTTTGGATTGTTGTGTTTTCATTGTCATTAGTTTCCAGGATGTTTCGAATTTCTTCTTTGATTTCATTGGTAACCCAATCAATATTTAATAGCATGCTATTCAGCTTCCAGGTGTTTGAGTATTTTGGGTTGTTTTTATTGTAGTTTATTTCTAATATTATGCCATCGTGGTCTGCGAAGACGCTTTTTATGATTTCAATTTTCTTGAATTTGGGGATACTTTGCTTGTGACCCAATATATGGTCTATTTTTGAATATGTCCTATGAGCATTTGAGTAGAATGTATATTCCCTGGCTTTCGGGTGAAGTGTTCTGAAGATGTCTATTAAGTCCATCTGATCTAGTGAGTCATTTAGGATTGCTGTATCTTTGCTGATTATTTGTCTAGAGGACTTATCCAGTGCTGTCAGTGGTGTATTAAAGTCCCCAACTATGATTGTATTGTTGTCGATGTCTCCTTTGATATCTTCCAGGAGTTTTTTTTATGAATTTGGGTGCTCCTGCATTGGGTGCATATATGTTTACCAGGATTATATCTTCTTGTTGTATTGATCCCTTTAGTATTATGAAGTGGCCTTCCTTATCTCTTGTTATGGCCTTCACTTTGAGGTCTATTTTGTCCGATATAAGTATTGCTACCCCAGCTTTCTTTTCCTTTCCATTTGCCTGAAAGATATTTTTCCATCCTTTCACTTTCAGTCTGTGTGAGTCCCTTCTAATGAGGTGGGTTTCTTGTAGACAGCAGATGTATGGGTCATGTTTTTTTATCCATTCAGCCACTCGATGTCTTTTGTTTGGAGCATTTAGTCCGTTTACGTTTAAAGTTATTATTGAAAGGTACTTGTTTGTAGGCATTTCTGTTTTTGTGTGGCTGTTTTCTTTCTGAGCTTTTTATTTCTTATTTTTATACCAGTCCCTTTAGCATTCCTTGCATTGCTGGCTTGGTGGTGATAAACTCCCTTAGCCTTTTTTTGTCTGTGAAGCTTCTTATTTCCCCTTCAAGTTTGAATGATAGCCTTGCTGGATAGAGTATTCTTGGATTCAGTCCTTTGCTTTGCATCACTTTGTAAATTTCTGTCCATTCTTTTCTGGCCTGATGTGTTTCTGTTGAGAAATCATTTGACAATCTAATGGGAGATCCCTTGTATGTAACTTTCCGTCTCTCTCTTGCAGCCTGTAAGATTCTCTCTTTGTCCTGAACATTTGCCATGGTAATTATGATGTGTCTTGGTGTGGGTCTTTTTGGGTTCACCTTGTTTGGGACTCTCTGGGCTTGTGTGACTTTTTTCTTCCCCACCTCAGGGAAGTTTTCTGATATTATTTCTTCTAATAGGTTTTCTAATCCTTGTTCATCCTTCTGTTGTTCTGGTACCCCTATTATTCGTATGTTGTTTCGTTTCATGTTGTCCCAAAGCTCCCTTAGGCTCTCCTCCTGTCTTTTCATTTTTTTCTCCAATTGCAGTACATTTTGGGTGTGTTTTGCTTCCTTGTCTTCTAAATCACTAATTCGGTCCTCCGCTTCTCCTAATCTACTGTTGATACTTTCAATGGAGTTTTTCATTGCAGCTATATCACTCTTCATATCTTCTTGGGTCTTACTTAAGTTGTTGATTTTTTCATCTGTTTCTTCTAGCTTCTTCCATATGTTATCGATTTTTTCATCTGTTTCTTCTAGCTTCTTCCATATGTTATCGATTTTTTCATCTGTTTCTTCTTGCTTCTTGCTGAGGTTGTCGATTTTTTCCTCCATCCGGTTTATGCACTCTAGGACCCTTATTCTGAATTCTTTTTCTGTCATGTTGCATGCCTCTGTATTACTTAGCTGCTTTTCTGGAGAGTCCTCCTTCTCTTTCCTTTGGGGGTTTCTTTGTCTACCCATGTTTGATCTCACTGACATATCTAGACGTTGAGTCGTTCAGTGGCTGCTCCCTTGGTGGCAGTGACTCCTTGGTCTGCGGTTCCTCTTCGGGCGGTTGCGGTAGCAGCTGCTCTTCAGTTGGCAGCAACTCCTCTGGTGGGTGCTGTTCACAGCTGTGGTGGCTCTTCTGGCTGGTGGGGTGAGGTTTCATGTACAGCTGCTGTTCCTCAGCAGAGGGTGTGGTGCTCAGGAGGTTGCTGTTGCTTGGATCTGCTGTGTTGATTTAAAGGCACAAAATACAACACAACAAGGCACCACGTACCAGGCACTATACACAAATATATTCACGATATTAATAACCCCAAATAAAGGTGACCACCTGAATTAAGAGAATTAGGGGATAAGGAAGAAGGAAGAGAAAAAGAGAAAAGAGAAAAAAGAAAAGAAAATTAGGGACCAAAAAAAGGAGTGCAAAAATGAAATTGGGAAAAAGGAGGGGGGAAAGTAAAAGCGAGAAAAGAAAGGAAAAGAAAAAAAAAGAGCGAAAAGAGAGAATGAAGTGGAAGAGGGGAAGAGACTTTTTATATGAGGAGAATACTCCTATAGAACAGCCATTAATCAACATATTGGGCTTTTATTATATAGGATAGTTATATAGTGCCTATGCTGTATTTATGAAATAAATCAATTACCTATAGTTTGTACTCCCTGAGTTCCTGCATATTGTTAAATAGTAATGTTATGTTTCCCTCCAGTAAGTGTATCCTCACTGCATGAGACACTGTGCAGCTGTGAGAAGAGTTTGAAGAATGTCATTAAAGAATAGAGTTAGAAAAAATGCCTGAAGAAAGGTCTTCTCTTTTATTGGAAGAAAATAAAAAATCCCTTTTGATTTCTAGTTAGTAATAAGGAAATTGAAACATGACATCCAGCCAGTGTACCCTTAGAAACAACACAACTCTATTTTGTGCTCTGGTAATGTGCCCAAGGGCTTCCACATTCTTCTACTAAGTCATTTAGGAGGCCCTTTGAGTCTGGAGATTATGCATAATGTGTATTAATTTTTAAAAGAGCCTGGGGTTTACTGTGACCCTTCCAAAGAAAATTTAGAGTGAATGAATGTTACATGTTAGCACTCAGGAAAGAAAGAGATAATCCCCGGTCTTAGAATCAGAAAATGAAAATTGACTAACAGTACTAGTAAATATCCTCAGTGAACTGAACTATAAATAAAATTATTACCTCATAAAAACATTTTCAGTGTGGTCTATTGAAAGTATTTTCAGTTTTCAAGCTAATATAAATTATTCAATGGAAGCACCAAAGGTACTAATGCCTTTTGGGTGTTTTTTTTTTTTCCAGCTAGAAGATGACATCATAGCTAAAAAGATGTACTTTACAAAAATCATAGATTTCGTACATAGTATCACTTCAAATAATTGGTTTTATATTGAGTTTTCAGTTCTTGGATTTATAGGTAAGCAATGGGTCAATTTTGTGGGGTCCAGATTTTTGGCATGATAACCTTAATAGTTCTTAAGAACTTATCAAAAAGTTTGTTACTAAATGAAAAAGAATGACGACTTGATTTCTACAAAAATACAATTACTTTACTAGTAAAATCAGATTCAAGGATCTGAATTTCAGAAAATGTATTTTTAAACCAAATTTTTTTTCTGGATGGACAATGTGAATAAGCTGATTGACATATATGCATATGCATTACAAAAATGTTAAGATAGCACCCCTTGTTAAATGCTTGCTGTGAGTCTGGCACCCAGGTTAGCTCAGTGACTAAGATGAACTTCTCTCGATTTTACATAGAAAAATACATGCAAAAAGCATTGTACTGTGAAGTTCCTGTAATTCCCATTTCCAAAACTGACATACTATAAAAAATATAATAGTATATGAGTTATATCCACCAAGGAAAGTTCCTAAAATTGTGCTCATGATGAGATTTTTCACTTTCACAATTTTCTGTGGACTTTCCTTTTCTTTCCTCCCCTCCATTCTTTTTTCAAATTGCTCTGATGGCAGCAGGTTGAAGTACCATGCTCTCCTTGTAGTGCGTGTTTTCATTGCTCAGGCAGGGGCTCTCTCTTATTTTATTCTTTTGTTCTATGCCCAATTCCTACTCCCACTTCCTCCCACCCCTCCAATAGATTTTCACTCTAATATGTGCAAAATATCATAAGCATACATGTATCCATGTAAAATACTTGGTGCTGATCATGTTTGTACCTGTTTAAAATTGACATAGATGGTGAAGTGATAAACCTCTCCCTGTTCCTTACATTTTTGTCCTCAAAACTAGATGTTAAAACTGTCAGCATGTTGCTTTGTGTTTCAGTGGTTCTCAACCTTCCTAATGCCGCGACCCTTTAATACAGTTCCTCATGTTATGGTGACCCCCAACCATAAAATTATTTTTGTTGCTACTTCATAACTGTAGTTTTGCTACTGTTATGAATCATAATGTAAATATCTGATATGCAGGATGTATTTTCAGGGGTCGTGACCCACAGGTTGAGAACCGCTGGTTAGTTCATTGCTTCTTACTGCTGCGTAAGTGCTACCTAACAATCCATTTGGCTCATCCACTCCCGGAGTGGTGGACCTTGATGGCCTGCAACTCTGCCACCACAAAGAAATGAAGTGCTATGTATGTTCCCTGGGGCAGGATCACTGAGGGCAAATTAGCTGGGTCTCTACATACTGCCAGGTTGCCTCGCACATGGGCTGAACAGTGTATATGCCCATCAGCAGTGCATGTGAGCGCCTGCTTCCCCATATGGTTGGTAACATTTGATTTTACCCAGCAAACAATTTTTTTTGATGTTGAGCAGAGTATAAAGCATTTCTCGGGTTGTTAGTAAAATCCATCTGTTCTTCATAAACTTACTTGACCACTTTCTTCCCCAAAGTTTCTATAAAGTGGTATGGAATCCAGTCTTAAGGCCCTGAAGGTTTTTGCTCAGCTTTGGTTAAAATAAGAAGGAAATTAGGTAACAGTAATACCTGATGAGAAGCTTGCAGAGAAAATAACTTTGTTGACATATTATTCTGAGAATTTAAAATTTTCTTTTATCTTTCTCAGCAAAGTCAGATATGAGAAGGATAGAGAATATGCACTTTCTGACTACCACAAGAGAATATTGAAAAAGGAGCTTGCTGGCTGTGATGCTGAAGTCTTCTTTAAGATTAACTTTACAAAGGCTTTTTAAAGTCATAACAGTTCTTTAGCCAATATTTACCAAAAATATGAGCTTGCTACATAGGATTTTACAATATGCTAACAAAGATAAGGAAAACAGAGATATTAAATCAACTATTTCCATCAGTAAATCACTTGCTTTGGTTCCTTGTCCTCCACAGGAAAGCTATTTAAATCTGAGGACTTAACTGACTTCATACAGTTTTTTTTAATGTTCTACAAAGATAAACCCATAGACTGGCTGTTGGCGGACATTTTTCAGGTGAAGATGTGTACCCCAGGAGAAACTCCTGTGAGTATGTTTTTACTTTGTAAATACCAAATATTTTAGAAGAATACTATCTGTCTAATATAATTACCTAAAATTTGTTTACCAAACCAAAGCTGATGAGTGCATCAGTTTTTTAACTTCCAATATTCTAAATTTATATTGACACTTCTACTGAGAGGTCAAAGAGCAGTGAGAAGTGCAAACAATGGGACAAAATAAGTGAAGAAACAGAAAAAAGGCAATAAAATGGTAGGCCTAAATCCAAACATGTCAGTATTTACTCCAAACATAAACAGCCAAGATGTACCAACTAAGAGTTTATCAGAATAGATTAAAAAAAACACTATGCAATTAATTGCTATCTGTACTCAATTTAGATATGCTATAGATAGCTTAAAAGTAAAAGATGGAAAAAGAGCCCTAGTCAGTTTGGATCAGTGGAAAGAGCATTGGCCTGTGGACTTAAGGGTCCTGGGTTTGATTCTGGTCAAGGACACATGCCCAGGTTGCAGGCTTGATCCCCAGTAGAGGGCGTGCGGGAGGCAGCTGATCAATGATTCTCTCTCATCATTGATGTTTCTCTCTCTCCCCTCCCTTACTCTCTGAAATCAATAAAAACATATTTTAAAAAAGAGTATGTGAGTTTTAAGCAAAGATTATTGTTTCTGTTTTTCCCCAGGAGAAATGTGTAGAACGAAATAAGCAAATTCGTATTCGATATAAACCTTCCCTTTTCCAGCATGTGGGCATACAGTCATCATATCCTGGAACTGAACAATATTTAAAAGTAAGATTTTGAAATGGTAATTGAAAAAGAAATAATGTTTCATGAACTTATAAACTATTATTTAGAAAAGAAGTGATCAGAACATGAGAGAGACTGTAAAATATGGTTGTTTAGATACAATTCATCTTATGCCAGACTATATATTATGAAGACCAATCATCTTTTTTTAAAAAAATATTTTTTAATTTCAGAGAGGATGGAAGAGGGAGAGAGGGAAACATCCATGATGAGAGAGAATCATTGATTGGCTGCCTCCTGCATGTTCCCCATTGGGGATCCAGCCGCAACCTGGGCATGTGCCCTTGACCGGAATCGAACCTGGGACCCTTTGGTCTGCAGGCTGACGCTCTACCCACTCAGCCAAACCTGCTAGGGCACCAATCATCTTTTCAAGACCCAAATTATCTATCATGGTTGGAAAATTCAGCCTATGTAAACTTCTTTGCCTCACTGTTTGCAGCTGTGCAATTCAAAGAGTAAGACTAAAAAAAGTGTTTTGAAAATCATAATAAAGTTAATTATTTTTAATGAAATAACATTAAAAATTATATAAGAATATTTCAAAATAAAATGCTTCTGCTATTGAATTCAAATGTATTTTCATTCTTATTTTAGGCCACTATTTACCAGATGAGCAAAAATTCAGCAGTTTGGTTTTTAGTCATTTTTAAATTTTCCTTCATTTTTGGAAACAATTTAAATTGACTTCAGCATCTTGGTGAGGTACAAGAAGCAAAGACTTTAGAGTCAAAACACTGCGTTTTAAGTTATGGTATATATATATATAGTATTTAGGGCAAGACTACCGCTCTTCTGAGCTCTCCTCACCAATAAACAAGGAGTTTAAATGAGGTGATCCTTCAGATTTCTTCTGTCTTTGAAATACTTTTGACACGTCTGTACACAACAAAACGAATGATTGCTTTAATCCTTAGTTGAATTGAGAGAAAGGCACATCTGTATCCTCCCATCATTTCATCCATTATTTATGACCTTCTTTCCATCTTCTCTTTCATTGTGTATTTATTATATGGTGCTTGGGACGGTGCCTGGAACATAGTGTAAACTCAGTAAATGTTAGTTATTAGCTATCAGGCAAGGTGGAATTCAAGATAAAAAGTGTTGGTTAAACAAGACAACAAGTGCCTGGAATAATGAAAATTTAACTGTTAAGAATCTTTATGTAAAAAGTAATACCATCAAAATATATGAAACATAGCCATAGATGATGCAGAAAGAAATTAGTCTACACCATTCTATTTGTTGGTGCTATTATAATGGGATTATATATATATATTAAAGGTTCAATGCATGATATTTGTGCAAGGGGCTCAGCCCTCGCAGCCCCACCTGTCTGGGCTGGCTCTCGCAGCCCCGGCTTCGTCTGGAAGGTTGTCTGGATGCTTGTTCTGCTGTTCGGTCTAATTAACATATTAGCTCTTTATTGTATAGGATTTTTCTTGCCGAGTAAGATATTTTAATCTTACCTTTGTAAATTCACAACAGATTCAGTAGAATGTACCTCTAATCACTAACTTTTTGATATTATAATCTTAGTGTTTTTTTTTATATATTTCATACCACCTAAAATAAATAGGAATATATAACAGCTTAATGCTATATCAAAGTGATTATATTTAAATTATTTTTTAATTTCTAACAGGATATCTACTATTAGGAGTTACATAATTCTAACACCTTTTATAATGATCAGAATTCTTCGGAAAAAAATGGCATAACAAGGATTAGACTATTTCCCAACCTACTTCATAGTGGATAAGCGACTATGTCATATTTTTAAAAAGTTAAACCTTCAGTTATAAACTGGTAAGTATAAAAATGATATACTGTATAAACATATAGAATATTATCAGATGTTAATCTTATTTTATATCCTTTGTGTATTAAAGTTTTGTACATATAACTTTTTAAAAAATATTTTTAAATTTATTTCAGAGAGGAAAGGAGAGGGAGAGGGAGAGGGAGAAGGAGAGGGAGAGGGAGAGGGAGAGGGAGAGGGAGGGAGGGAGGGAGGGAGGGAGAGAGAGAGAGAGAGAGAGAGAGAGAGAGAGAGAGAAACATCAATGATGAGAGAGAATCATCCATCGATTGCCTCCTGCATGCTCCCCTCCCCCCACTGGAAATCAAGCCTGCAACTTGGGCATGGGCCCTGACCAGGAATCAAACCACATGTGACCTGGCTGTGCATATAATTTTCTGATATACTCCATAATATTCTATTTTAGAAGAATCAATCAGTATTTCCTTTCCCCCCTTTTGTTTATCATGTACTGTAGATGTAGATGTAGAGTGAATTTGGAGACAATAGATCTGAGTTTAAGGCCTTATTTGTATCAATAGATATAACAATATCGATGAATCTCTGACACATTATACTAAGTGAAAAAAGCCAGTTGCAAAAGACTTTCAATTGTATGATTCTATTTGTATAAAATTCTAGGTAAAGCAGGTCCTGTTGTCTCATTATGATTGTAATTTGCATTTCTTTAATGATCAGTGATGTTGAACAATATCTCATGGGGCTTGTTATAAATATACACATGTGTATATGTAAATATAATAATGAAATATACATTTTAATGAAATATATATTTGTGAAATGTTATTCAGATATTTTCCCATTTAAAAAATTGGGTTATTTGCCTTTTTAATTTTGAATTGTAATATTCCTATTTTGGCATAGTCTGACCACATGTCTCAGCTATGGCTTGCCCTTTCATTGTCTTAATAGTGTTTGCTTGTTTATTTTTATCTTTCTCTGTCACATGCCTTCTCAAATATTTAGTGATTCATGGTTGTCTGTTGAATTTGAATGAGCTTATAGAAAACTAGAGGCCCAGTGCATGAAATTCATGCACAGAGGCTAGGGGGGTCGGGGGAGGGTTTGTCCCTCAGCCCAGCCTGCACCCTCTCGCAATCCAGGACCACTGGCTCCTAACTGCTCGCCTGCCTGCCTGCCTGATTGCCCCTAACTGCCTCTGCCTGCCTGCCTGATCGCCCCTAACCACTCTGTCCGCCTGTCTGATCACCCCTAACCGCTCTGCCGGCCTGGCTGCCCCTAACCACTCACTTGCCTGCCTGATTGCCTCTAACCACTCTGCCTGCCTGCCTGATCGCTCCTAACTGCTCACCTGCCTACCTGATTTCCCCTAACCGCCTCTGCCTCGGCCCCCACCACCACAGCTTCGTCAGGAAGGATGTCTGGAAGGTTGTTCAGCTGTCTGGTCTAATTAGCATATTATGCTTTTATTATTATAGATGTTAATATTGGTCAGTATGGGTAAATTTTCCCCCCTCCCCTGTCCCCCACACTACACTTATCCTCATATTTATTTATTAAAATGCAAGAATGAAGGAGGCTTCCTAGGAAGTTTTGGCATATAGGTAGAACTTGTTGGTTTGCAAACTATATTAGTGTATTTGAGTGGCTAGGTTTCTATTGTTTTGTGGTGTGTGTGTGTGTGTGTGTGTGTGTGTGTGTGTGTGTGTATTTCCCTAGTCGTTTGAGAGAAGTTGCACCAGTGTGCCAGGATACAGGGTGCTTTGTTCTGTGCACAGGTGCCTGCTCTGGTTATATCAGGCTGCTCACTCACTTTGGTTAGCGAAGCCTGGGTGTGTGTGCATTGCCTGAGCCATAAAGTCCGGCTGCTCAGGTTTGGGCGATCAGTGCTCCTGACACAGACTCTCATTTCATTCTCACGGTTCACCCAAGTTTAGCGCCCGTCTTCCCCCAAATCTGCCATCTCCGCTGTCGCCCCCATCCACGTGTCTAGGCACAGATTCCTCATCCCCTCTTTGCCAGTCCGTACTCATCCTTTACATTTATACCTCTCATCAATTTGATGAAAGGTCTCCTAGGCTAAGAGCCCCCCTGCATCCTTGACACTTTGGAGTTTCACCTTTTTTGTGTATTTACAGTGGGGCCTTGACTTACAAGTTTAATTTGTTCCATGACAGAGCTCGTAACTCAAATTACTTGTATGTCAAATCAAAAAGTGAACGAGTGAGACACGTGATGCTGGGCTGCTGTTGTGGCGTTCACTGTGACGTTCGCTGCGCCAGCTAGCGGTGGGGTATCTGAAGCTGGCTCGTAACCCGAATTTTAGCTCGCAACTCAAAGCAAAAAATCGGCCAAGAGACAGCTCGTATCTCGAAAAACTCGTTAGTTGGGACACTCGTAAGTCAAGGCCCCACTGTACTGTCATTTCTTTGAGGTCTAGCCATCCACCATCTTCAACCAAGTGTTTTGATATTTCATTTCAGTTTTTTAAAACTTTTCTTTTTCTAACCCTCACCTGAAGATATGCTCATTGATTTTAGAGAGAGAGGAAGGGGCCGAGAGACAGAAACATCGATGTGAGAGAGAAACTTTGATCAGTTGCCTCCTGTATATGCCCCAACCAGGAAGGGGAGATCGAACCTACAACCTAGGTATGTGCCCTGACCAGAAATCAAACCTGAAACCTTTTGGTACACGGGACCATGCTTCAACCAACTGAGTCACCTGACCAGGACAGCTTTTTAAAAATTCAATTTTATTAAGTAAAATAGGATTTACTTATGGCCCCGTAGAGATTGTCTTCCTCTTTTCTTTATACAGGACTAACATTTTTCTTATGTTTTCCTTAATATTCATTCCATAACTCCGTCTTCTTTTTTAAAACACAACTTTATGTAAAATTTTTCCCCTAGCCAGTTAAATTACATATTACACTTCTCAAACAACTCCTTTTTAAATGTAAGCTATAGTTTAATCAGCAGAAAAAAATAGTTTATCTCTATCTACCTTGTAGTTCAAAAATAATTTAATGAAACAAAATTTATCTTAGTGATAATTTTTTTTAGTTTCTGAAATGTAAAAATCTTGCCCATTTTCAGTTTAAAAGTTGATTATCATTTTATGTTCTACATCTATAATAAACTTTCAAAAATTTCTTTTAGAAACAACTAAAATATTTCAGTATCAATAATTTCTGAAAGCAGTGGAATTTATATAATTTGATAAGCTTCCTCCTACATGAGAAGTCATTTTCCTTTCACTGCAGTGGAAGCAGTTGAATTAGTATAATTTGCTTTTGCTTCCCCCTACATGAAAAGTAATTTTCCTTTTACTGCATTGCTCTGGGCATAGGGCAAAGTATTTCGATTGGAGATAGGTTTGCCACATAAAACAAAGGACTTCCAGTTACTTTGAATTTCAGTTAAGTAATGGCTTTTTTTGGTGTGTGTGACACATTTGTTTTGTTATTGTTGCTAAATGTAAGCATAGTTGGAGGTGATGGAGGGAGCCATAAGTTTATGCCCTTGACTTGTATTAACCAATGACATATGGAATGTTTGCATTTTCTTCAAACTTTTAAAAATAAAATGAAATGGAGGTTTAAAATATTTGTATCTTATCTACAGCAGTTTGTTGGCTGTAATAACAATCCAACAATACAGATTTCCCAGTGATGGAAATCTACTTTTAATCATTTTAACACCACGACAATATTAAAACTAACATTTTCTCATATATCTTAAGAGTTATATCTTTTGCCAATGTAAAGTTATCTTCTCTATCTAATAGGTGGAAGTGTCAAAAAGACAGAAAAATGAAAGAATATAATCAAGTATTTGTCATAAAAATAATTACATCCTCATGAATTAATATTTCTAGATGTTACAGTTTTATATATTTTTTATTTTTTTCAATTATGGTTTACACTTGATATTATTTTGTATTAGTTTCAGGTGTTCTGCATAGTGGTTAGACGATCATATACTTTACGAAGTGTCCCCCCTGATATTTCTAGTACCCACCTGGCACCATACATAGTTATTACGATATTACTGACTTTATTCCCTATGCTGCACTTTACATCCCGTGACTATTCTGTAACTACCAATCTAATTCTCCATCCTTTCACCTTTTTCACCCATTACCCCAACACCCCTCCCATCTGGCAACCATCAGTCTGTTCTCTGTATCTATGAGTCTGTTTCTGTTTTGTTCATTTATATTGTTCTTTAGATCCCACAAGTACTGTAAGTGAAATTATATGGTATCTGTCTTTCTCTGACTGACCTTTTTCACTTAGCATAATACTCTCTAGGTACACCCATGCTGTTGCAAATGGTAAAATGTTCTTTTTTATGGCCAAGTAAACTCCATTGTATATAGGACCACAGCTTTTTTTGTCCACTTGTCTATAGATGGGCACTTAGGTTGCTTCCATTTGAAAGAATATATCCACCCCATGTTCATTGCAGCATTATTTACAGATTAGTTATTTGTATTTCAGGAAATACGAAGCTAACGTAACAAGAAGAAACTCTGTAATACCGTGGGACCTCAGAAACTGTGCTTTCTAAATGGCATCTTTCAGACGTTGTAATAATGAAAGTATATAATTATATAGAAAAGGAGAAAACAGTGAGCAAACTAGTGGACTTGAAAGCATTAAACTATCTCTTATGTCAAGAAAAATTAGAACATTTATTTATGATGTTTATACTCTTACAATTTAATATTAAAATAGTAAAGGCAGGAAAGCTTTTAAAATTGAGAAATGTATTTTGTTGACTTAGATAATGATCTCATTATACAAAATCTCAATAAATAGCTAAAATTCAGAAACTTGACACTGTCATGGACAGGTTCAGTATGAATTGGTGTATGTTCTAATACATTTTGTGAAGACATCTAGAGAAACAGAAAGCAAAAGTTGAAGCAAGCCAGGGTCTGACAGTGCCATAATATCTTCTTGTTTTTTAAATAATGTATTTAAAATGATAAACGTATGCCTAAATGCCATT